CATTTGAATTTCCTTTCTAATCTCTTCCATGACCCACTCGTGATGCAGCAGTGTGTTGTTCAGGCTCCATGTGATACCGGACTTTCTTTGGTGGCTTTTGACGTTGAGTTCTAATTTTATTCCCTTGTGGTCTGAGAGAATGCAAGGTATAACTTCAGTGTTTCTGAATTTGGACAAATTTGCTTTGTGGCCTAAAATGTGGTCTATTTTAGAAAATGTTCCATGTGCTGCTGAGAAAAACGTGTATTCTGATGCTGCTGGGTGAAATATTCGGTAGATGTCTGTTAAATCCAGTGATCTATGCAGTTGTTTAGATCTGCGGTTTTTCTGGTGAGTTTTTGCCAAGTTGATCTATCTAGTGGGGAAAGTGGTGTGTTAAAATCCCCAACAATTAATGTCTTTGGATCTATGTGGGATTTGAGGGAAAGTAGTGTTTCTTGGATAAATTTGGGTGCTCCATTGTTTGTCAAATAGATAATTAGAATTGTAATATCCTCCTGAAGGAGAGATCCCTTAATTAGTATGTAGTGACCTTCTTTATCTCTTCTCACTAATTTTAATTTGAAATCTATTTTATCTGATATTAGGATTGCAACTCCCGCCTGTTTATGGGGGGCATTTGCTTGGTATATTTTGTTCCAGCCTTTCACATTGAAAATGTGTTTGTTTTTATGGGCAAAATATGTGACTCCTGAAGGCAGCAGACAGAAAGATCTTGCTTTTTAATCCAACTGGACAGTCTATGTCACTTAATTGGAGAGTTAAGTCCGTTAATGTTGAGAGATAGGACTGAGAGGTATTTGGGAGTACCTTCCATTTTATCCACCTTCTTGGAGGCTGCAGCTACTGGGTTCTTCCTATGGTTCTTGGATTCTCAGTTTGGGTGTGGTTTCTTGGCCTTTATTGTGGTCTTGTTGGTTTTCTATGTGTAGGACATCTTGAAGTATCTTTTGTAGGGCTGGTTTGGTGGAGATATATTGTTTCAATTTTTCTTTGCTATGGAAGGTTTTTATTTAACCTTCAGTTATGAAGGAGAGTTTAGCTGGTTACAGAATTCTTGGTTGATAGTTGTTTGTCTTTAGGGCATGGCATACTTCATTCCAGGCTCTTCTTGCTTTGATTGTCTCTGCTGAGAAATCTGAGGTGATTCTAATTGGTTTCCCTTTATAGGTGATTGATCTTTTCTCCTTGACAGCTTTAAGGACCTTTTCCTTGGTCTGAATTGATCCTGTGTGGATTATAATGTGACCGTGGGATGTCCTATTCTGGTCTGGTCTATTTGGAGTTCTAAAAGCTTCTTGTATCTGAATAGGCCTATCTTTTTTCATGTTTGGGAAGTTCTCTGCTAGGATCTTGTTAAACAAATTTCCTAGACCATTAACTTCTGTCTCTAGGTGCTCCTCTACACTCACTATCCTCAGATTAGGCTTTCTGATGGTGTCTTCCAAGTGTTGAATAGATCTATCATATTTTTTGGATTTGTCTTGGAGGGTTGTATGTTCTTTCTCTATAATATCTAGGCTGTCTTCAATCCCTGAGATTCGATCTTCTGCATGGTCTAACCTACTATCGAGACTTTCTACTTTGTTTTTTTATTTCTTTTCCTTCTAGTTGGTTGGCTTTGATGGGTTCAAATTCTTTGTTGGAGCTTTATTTTAGATCTTGTATGAACTTCTTTACTTCCTTAACTTGGTGTTCAGTGTTTATTCTCAAATCACTTAGTTGATTGGTTATAGTTTCCTTGGACTCCCATTCTTTCTGTTGGGTTCCATTCAGTATTCCCTTTGTGGTCTCCCTGACTTCTTTCAGCCCTCTGTTTATGAACTCCATGAATGCCTTTAGTGATCTTTCTATATTATCATCCTGCTCTCTCAATTCCTGTATTACTCTTTGATTAACTTCTTCACATTCACGCAGTTCCTGTAGCTCTCTTTGAGTGATCTCAGCCTGCTCATGCCATTCCTGACTTTCTCTTTGACTGATCTCAGCCTGCTCACGCCATTCCTTTATTTCTCTTTGAGTGTTCTCAAGCTGCTCACGCAATTCCTGTATCAATCTTTGAGTAGCTTCCTCACGCACACGATATTTCTGTATTAACCTTTGTTTTGCCTCCTCTCTCTCCCTATCATGTTCATACAGAGTCCTTTGCAGGTTTTCAATCTTTTCATTTACCACGTTTACCATTAGTGTTTGTAGAGCTTTTTGGGAACTCTCCTCTGGATTATTCATTATCTTTTCTGTCCTGATTATTATGCGTGGGGAGTTGAGATACCCGGACTTGCTATTTTTCTTGTGTTTTTCCAGCTTGTTCTGCCCATTTGGGATGAAAGTAATACCAGTTTTGTGCTAGCACACTGTTTTAAGGCAAACATCAACCAAAGTCTGTAGTTGCACAGTCAAAAGTCTGCAGATACAATCTAGTTCAACAGATATACCTATTCAACATCAAACAACTATGTATTAATGGGCTACAAACTGCAAAGAAGAATTTGGAAAACAGAAATTATTAGGTTTAGGGAGAGATGTGGGTAAAAAATAGGCATAGAGGGATGTGGAAAGGCAGTGGGAGAGTTAACTAAATCATAATCTCAAAGCAGGAAATAGGTTGGATAGAATGATAGTAGACAGAGAAAAAAAGAAGAAAGAGAAAGAAAAATTACAAGAAAAAATAGAAAATTAAAAATTAAGAAGTGCAACACTTAAAAATTATGCAAATTTGAAAACATAATATTCAGAAAAGAATGTGGATAGAATAAGAGAAGGGGAGGGATAGAAAGGAGATGTGAAAAACTTAAAAATGCTTAAAATATTATATAGGTATAAAGAGGTAATACTGCTATTAAGGAATTTAAGTCTAAGAGGTTTTAAATTGAGTAATAAATTTCTGAATTAAGTGTGTACACAATGTGTGCTAAGGTCTAATAATCGACTATGGGTATATCTGAGGATGAACAGAACAGCAATTAAGTCATGCAAAGAAGAATGAAAGAGAAGAAAATCAGTTTAGTTCTTTTATGAATAGAGTCTTGAGCCTTTTTCCCCCTGGCCAGACTTGAATCAACATCCTCCTCTTCCTCCCCATAGCCCCAGCTATGTTGTGCAGCACTGTGCCTGGCTGCTTAAAGCCTGCTGAGCTGCTGGAGTGACAGCAGCTGTAAAGTGCAGCTGAGCCCTTACAGGATGCCTGGCACGCGGAGTGCATGCATGCTTCCATTCCATCTTCTTCCCCATGTTGGAGTGGGGGTAAGAGGATTAATACATGCACCTGCAAGTGTGGATTGGCCAACCTCCCTCCTTTAGAGTTGATGCTGAGTCTTTGTAGATTGCACGCACAAAGCTCTCTGACCTTCATATATTCTTTCAAAATCCCTTATTGTAACACTTCCTCCAATATTCAGAGAGGAATAAACACAATTTAGGGCTTGAAACAAATTTTGGGTTGAATGGGAGATTCATAGTTTTTTGAGTCTCAGCTTAACAGTGCCAGGTTACATGGTACAGGTCATAGAGAAGGAATGAAGAAGGGGTAAAGAAAGGAGAAATGGGGGCTCTCTAGGCCCTCTGGGGAAGGCTCAGGGAAGCTGTCTCCCCTGTGGTTCCAGGTCTGCTGTGGAAAAGTGCCAATGAAAAGATTGGGAACTACCCCACAATAAGGAACATGATGTGTGGGAGAAGAGGTGTTGTGTAATCTGGTAGAAACCTCTTATTCCATATAATCTGAATTGTGGAGTTTTATGTGGTAACCATAATTAGAGTGAGATCTGTTTCAAACAACTTGAACTTCACAGCCTCCCTTTGACAAGAGAGAATTGATAAGCCAAGCCACATTTAGGAATTAGAGCTAACGGAGGCCTTAAGATGAATTCAGGAACAAATTGCCACTCAGCTGCTGCTCAACTCCACTGTCTTAGCTCAACTTCTCACCCTTGTTTGGTATTTATATCTCTTTTTACCTTGATCTTTGTAACTGGAAGAAAGTAATTAGCCCACATTTTCCTCTAAAGTATGTTATGATGATATTTCATAGAATTTGAATTTTGTAGAAGTGTTTTTAAAAATATTCACCTCCACCACCAATAATCTGACAAGTCCGAAATTATGCACTTTAGCGTCATATCTGATATCCCTTGAATTTTCTGCTCAGAGGAAATATTGTGTAAAGGAATGAAAGTTGGGGAAGTGGCGCTGTGGCTCAAGTGGTAGGGCGCTAGCCTTGAGCTGAAGAGCTGAGGGACAGCGCCCAGGCCCTGAGTTCAAGCCCCATGACCGACCAAAAAAAAAAAGGAATGAAAGTTGGACTTGGGTCCACAAGACTTCCCTCTTAATAGCTGGCCTTAAGCAAGTCACCAGCTTGTTAATACGTTGGGCTGTTTCCTTGCTCACCCAGGGTAGTTACCTTTGCAAGGTTGCAGTAAGGATGAGGAATCAGGGAAGAGTGAAGGGGGTTGGGTACCATTATGGCCAACGAGAATAAAATCCTTCCATTATAATGGCTGCTATTCCTTACCAGAACACCAGACTGACAATGTTTGAGCCCATCCTCAGCTTCATTCCTGTCCCTCAGAGTGGGTGGGCAGTGCTTGATTTCTGCCCCACTGGCTCCCTACTTCTCCCAGGGGTCTGAGAATTTGCAGTGGTAACTGGGTAACTGGACATGGGTTTAAAGGCTTTTTGAGGCTGCTGCTACATATATAGTCTAATAGTTGATTCCAAAGCTACTTTTTCTGTCTCTGCCTACTCTTGGAGAAGCTCTACTGGATTTGGGTTAATCTCACGATGGGCTAAGGCAAATTGGAATATCTTTTCAGAAATCTCTACACTCTACTGATTAATTGGTTGTGAAATCCAAATTGCTTTGTCTTGCTCAAACTTTACAGTGCTAACAAAATCTAATGGGGAAAAAAGTCATTAACTTTTCAGATTATAATATTTCAGTGTTTGCTAGAAGATTTAGAGACTAGTCAGCAATCAAATGCTCATGGTGGAGCCCTCTACCTCAGGGACATATTTCTTTTGTAGGTTGGTGCAGCATGATTGAGCTCAACTTCAAGGATGCATTTGATTCCTTTGAGAGGCTGAAAAATGAGTCCAGGTGGTCACAGTGCTACTACGCGTATTTGACGGCAGGTGAGTAGACATCTAGGGAGCCACAACCGGCATCTCTGTGGTCAATTAGCTCCCACGCCCCGCCTGATGAGGAGCAGTGGAGGAGGATGCAGAAGTCCAAGTCCCTCCAACTTGACCTAGCTGATGCCCAGAAATTCTGCACCTGTACCCACCAATGCTCATCCATCCACGCTCCTCACCAGGGCCTGTCAGATCCTTCTCTGTCTTGGAAATAGTGACTGCGGATTTTCCCAGTTCTACACATTCGCTCTTGACAAACTCAATCTGTCCTGACTCCCTTTGTTTGCTACATTTTCTATTTATTGGGATTATTATTAAATTTTTTAAGGATTGAACCTTTTTCATTAATACATTGGTTTGATGCCCTGATTATACAGAGGTGTATAGGTTGAGGTGTCTGCTCAGACTCTGAACCCTACAGTGTGATGTTACAGAATTTGAGATGCAGTATTTCAACATTATCAACTGGTAATTTCTGGTCTATGGTTCGCACATTTGCCCTTGTATGAGATAATTGGAAATGTGCTGCCACCTGGTGGACAAAAGTGTTCTCTGCCCTTGTGATGGTTACAGTATCATGTAGTTGAACATTGCAGAAGTACGGAATTGGAGAGACACAAGTGCTGCCACCTGGTGGACAAAAGTATTCCCTGCCCTTGTGCTATATACAGTACCATGTGGTTTTAAATTGCACAGATGTAGGGTGACAACAATGCTTGATAAGAAATGTACTCATTACCTTGCCCATGTAATTGTAACTCCTCTGTACGGTATTTTCACAATAAAAAAAAGATATATTGTATTGCCAGGTGCCGGTGGCTCACGCCCGTAATCCTAACTACTGAGGAGGCTGAGATCTGAGGATCATGGCCCAAAGCCAGCCCAGGCAGGAAAGTCCGTGAGACTCTTATCTCCAATAACCCACTCAGAAAACTGGAAGTGGTGCTGTGGCTCAAGTGGTAGAGCTGAAGAGCTGAGGGACAGCACCTAGGCCCAGAGTTCAAGCCCCATGACCAACAACAACAAAAAAAGACATATTACATTCATAGACTGCTTTGTTAAATGGAAACTACTTAAAGATAAATTTGAAGTGTAAAGGTGTGGAAGTGGAAAGTCATAAGTGCTGCCACCTGGTGGACAAGTGTTTCCTGCCTTTGTGATATATACAGGACCATGTAGTTTAAAATCGCAGAGGTGTGAGCCAGGTGCTGGTGACTCACACTTATAATCCTAGCTACTCAGGAGCCTCAGATCTGAGGATCATGGTTCAAAGCCAGTTCAGGCAAGAAAGTCCTTGAAAATTATCTCCAGATAACCACCAGAAAACTGGAGATAGTGCTATGACTCAAAGTGGTAGAGCGCTTGCCTTGAGGGAAAAAGCTCATGGACAGTGCCCAGGCCCTGATATCAAGACCCACGACTGACAACAACAACAACAACAAAAAAGATAAGGTAGAGTTAACACTAGCCAATATATATCTAGCCTTCTTGAAATTCTTACAAAGTTGCATCGGACAAATGACAACCAGTATGAAACTATCTGTATATCTTGTATATATGCCCCCTTACTACAGTCTCTATAAGGCATGTCTCCCTATATTTGATATTTTAATAAGCTCTTTTGTATGTGTGCTCCCGGCCTGGGGCTCTCTCTGAACTTTGCCTGGATGCTGTCTTTGAACTGTTTTGCTCAAGGCTAGCACCCTGCCACTTGAACCACAGTTCTACTTCCAGCTTTTATTGGATCAAAGTTTCACAGACTTTCCTGCCCCTGCTGGCTTCAAACCGCCATCCTGAGCTCTCAGTCTCCTGAGAAGCTAGGAGTACAGACATGAGCCTCCAGCGCCCAGCCCAATAAGCTTTTTTATTTTTTTATATTTTAAATAAGACAGTATAACTGTGTCTCACACGTAAATGGGTATTTCATAGGATTTTCAGCATCTCACATAAAAGCAGGAGCTATTTATTGAGTGGTTTTGGTGTGGGCCACCTGTTGATCAATACGTTAGTTGTGGAATCAGGTGAACTCCGATGCAGAGCCCAGAAAAGAAATGGCTGCAAACAGCCCAGTGGTCATCAGCTGTGCCTGGATCACGCAGTCAATGGCAGGCAGCTACTTCTTCTTCTTGTCTCTGATGAGCATAGAAGAAATAAGTTACAGAGCAGCTATTGGAGAAGCTTTCAGTTTTCTCACATGTGGAAACCCCAGGACCGCCCTGATCTGTCTCAGCCCAGGGGTTGTGTGAAAGGGACACGTTGTGTATGAGTAGCTCCACTGCGCAGCACACCGGAGGAGCGAAAACAACGCTTCTATGTGGCCATCCAGGAAGGTCCCTGCAACAGCTGCCATGTGTGCTGGTCATGAAGGAAAGTACAGGTTGGTAGGCAGGCAAGAGGATGGGCCTTGGGTGACCAGAAACCTCACTATCAGTACTTTCTCTGTGACCCCGCAGCTCAGGAACCGGAGACACTTTGGCCGTGGTTGAGTTAGTGGTGGTGTGGTCCCGTATCGTGACCTCATGTCTGTTAGTGACATTTCCCCATGCACTATAGAAATGCGATTCTGCTTTTTTACAGTTTGTCAGGGAGCTACTGGCGATGTGGAAGGGGCACAGATCGTCTTCAAAGAAGTTCAGAAACTCTTCAAAAGGAAGAACAATCAGATCGAGCAGTTCTCAGTGAAAAAGGTTCATTGGAGGGCTGGGAAGGTGGCTCAGTGGTAGAGCACTTGCCTTGCATGCCTGAGGCCCTGGGTTCGATTCCTCAGCACCACATAAGCAAAAAGAAAAAAAAAGCCGGAAGTGGCGCTATGGCTCAAGTGGTAGAGTGCTAGCCTTGAGCTGAAGAGCTCAGGGACAGTGCCCAGGCCCAGAGTTCAGACCCCACAACCGGACCCAAAAAAAAAAAGGTTCGTTGGAGCCTGTTGATCTGGGGGTCGTTTATTGGAGGTCATTTGTAGTACACCACTACCTTGGACAGGCTTTAGGACATCATCTTTGCCAGGTGACTTTCTTGCCACCTAAAATGCAAGCCACCACTGTGGAGAGAACTTCCTTCTATGATCACACTTCTGTTCTGAATAAAAAGGGTCTGTGCTGCTATAAATAAAGACTTGAAAAGTAATTGAATAAGGACATGATGGTCTCTGAAGAGCTAGTGAGCATTTTTGGAAAGGGGAAGCATTTGTCTAAAGATCAGGTCGTTCAGAAGGAATACAAATTGGGAGAGCCCAGGGCAAGGTGCAGATGGGTCTGGTCCTCACATTCTGATGTGACAAAAAAAAAAACAAAAACAGTTTATCAGATTTATCAGTAGAAAGCCCAGAAAGCCACAGGGACAGCATTCCAAAGGCATTCTGCATTTTGGAGAATAAACCGGATACCCATTAGTTAGGTAATCTTATCATAGTTTGAACTTTCCATGGTTACAACTTACAACTATATATAACTGAACTTAACAACTATATATAACTGAAACTTACAGTTTCATTTTCCTTTTGCTCGCTGTTAGGCTTGAACTCAGGGCCAGGGCTTTGTCCCTGAGCATCTTTGGCTCAAGCTCTCTACCACTTGAGCCACAGTGTCACTTCCAGTTTTTGAGTGGGTCATTGGAGATGAGAGTCTCATGGGGACTTTTCAGCACGGGCTGGCTTTGAATTGTGATCCTCAGATCTCAGCCTCTTAGTAACGAGGCTTACAAGCATGAGCCCCTAGTGCCTGGCAATTTTCTTTTCTTCTGTAAGCAGGTTTTGTGTGTAAAGTTTTACTGGGTAAACATTTCATGAATTTGACTATAGATTAGATCATGTTGTGAAATGAAGCTGAGAACCCTGAGGCTGAGTTGAAAACAATTAAATCAAGAGTGCCAGAACTAAAGTGCTTTGAGCATTACATCTCCCTGTAGGCCCGTGGGTGACCCTTGGTTGAGTAGCGTTAGTGAATTCGTTGACTTAGATTTTCAGAACTCCTATAACAGTGAGTCTGGGCTTAGTGGAATAGTGAGTGTAAGAATATGAGTATGTAAGAAACTAGACAGAAAAAAAATCTGTAGCTAAATGGCTATGTTTAGTTTGGTGAAGAGGGTCATCCATTCACACTGACTACGCACTGTGCATTTCATGTCTCCAAAGCATATGCGTATATTTGAATTTGTCCTTGGAGCACGCAGCCTCATTGTGCTGTCTGCTTACAGGCAGAGAGGTTTCGGAAACAAACCCCCACCAGAGTGCTGTGTGTGCTGGCATCCATTGAAGTGCTGTACCTGTGGAAAGCTCTTCCCAACTGCTCCTTCCCCAACCTGCAGAGGATGAGTCAAGGTAAACGCAAGGCCTGCGCCCATGGGCTTGCTTCAGGACACCCCTTCCCCCTGCATTTTCCCATTAACATCACTGGATTCAGAGAGCCTGGGTATGTTCTAGTCAGGTAGAGTAGAGAGATTCAGGCAGCTGTCATATAGCTGTACAGACAGGTACACTGGCCTTCTTAGGATATTTACTTGGTGATGGATACCTGTATAAATGTGATTAGTTTTACAGCAGTGAAAGCATTTTGTTTCCTGTAGGTGTGCTTTGCATGCATAGAAAACTTTGATTTCACGAGTTATGACATCATTCACAACAGTCAAGACATAAAACATTACCACCACGCCAACCTTTCCCTTGCTACCTTTCCTGGTTGGTCTCCCCTCTAGGCATGTTCTCCTGGTTTCGGTGTCCACAGATGAGCTTTGCTGTTCCTAGTACTTCATAGGTGTGGAATCCTCAGGATGTAGGATGTGTGTGCAATAGTCACTTAGCCTGACACTATTCAGGTGATTAAGCGGATGTCTTTCCTTCCTTTCACTCCCCACTTCTCTCCTAGCTTGCCATGAAGTGGATGATTCATCTGTTGCTGGATTAAAGTATCTGCTTCTTGGTGCCATACACAAGTGTCTAGGAAACTCAGAGGATGCTCTTCAGGTAAACTGTTAGTGTGATTTTGTGAAGAAAACAAATCGTGACCACCTACATCTGTGCCTGTGACTGAGAAAAAGAAAAGGCACTAAACAAAACCAAACCTCCCACTTTGACAGGAACTTTAGCCACTTGATTTGATGAATGCCGTCTTTTCAGATACTGGAAGTTGATGGTGGTTGATGTGACGTTTTTAACTTAAGTGCAGAGACTTGGAACACCTTCTTTTTATATATGGGCTTCTGTTCTGGAGCTAGCTGTTTATCAAAGATGGAAGCCCCTTTATCAAAGATGGTAGAGCATTTGAAGTAACAGAGCTGGACCTCAGACAGAAACAGAAGTGATCAGACATGTCAGTGGGCATGAATTCCTCCTCCCTCCACAGTGCAGGCTACCATGCAGAACTGGAGGCGAGGTTTGGAAAGTCGTTGGCTTAGGCAGTGTGTTAGCAAGCTGTTCACCACTGTGACAGAATACCTTGAGGAAACAATTGAGAAGAAAGTGAGGTTTATCTTAGAGGTTTCGGTAGGTGGTTGGCTCCATTGCTTTGGGGGTGTGGTGAGGCAGAGCATCATTGGAGAAAGAGCATGGCATAGCAGGGCACAGCAGAGCTGTTCACCTCATGGGGGCCAGGAAGCTGAGAGAGAATGACAGGAAAAGGCCAGGAAGAAGTCAGACTCTTGTGAACATGTCCCCTCGGCCCCCAGCTGCCTTCCTCCTCCAACCAGGCCTTGTGTCCTAAGAGTCCTCCTGCTGTGAGTTCATGGATGTATTAATCCAGTGATCATCATGATGTCAGCATCCTCAGGATCCAATCCCCTTTCCATACTACCACTGGAGCCTTTAGGAGACACTTCATACTCAAGCCATGACAGCTAGTATATGTATATAATAGATGAAAAAGAGCCATCAATTATTTTCTGATGTATTTAGGAAGATTTTTTTTAATGTGTGTCTGTGTCTGTCTATGTCTGTCTGTGTGTGTATGTATGTGTGCTGGTGATAAAACTTGGAGCCTCATACACATTAGTCAAGCACTCTACTACTAAGTACAGCCTGGTTAGTTGTAGAGGGATATCTCCATGTTGCTTTAGCTAGTTTTCCACACACAGTTCATAAATGTTAATACAATGTGTTTATATTGAAATTTAAGTCTTTTAGTGTGAGGTTATCATAGTTGTTACATAGATTAGAAAGCATGACTAGTTACAAGTAAGACACTAAGATATAGCCATGTCAAGAGATGGTTCTTGGCTTTTGTGTGCAATGGGTTGGTTTGTTGACAGTACCAAGGATTGACTCCTGCATGTTAGGCAGCACTTTAACACTTGCCTTTCTATGTTGTATTTAAGATAGCATCTAGATAATTTAGTGTGTGCTGGCCTCCAATTTGTAATCTTCCAGCTGCCTCCTCTTCCAGTAGCTGGGATTATAAGTGTTCACCAACCCAGTTACCTATTTTTGCATTTTTCATTTTAAATATTAAAATGGGGACTGTGTAGACTTTCAGGGGCAGCCATATTTTTTTTAACAGTATGATCAGCAGTAGAGGGATGTACGAGGTAAGCCAGTGGATAACATATCTAGAGGAACTGCTCCGGGCAGGTGTAAAGAGGACTTGATCAAGATGGACAGGAAGAAATGGAGAGGAGAGAAGGAAACCTGATTGAGAAAACAAAAAGGACACGTGTCATCTTCTTTGTCTGATCCCAAGTTAGGGAAATAAATTCATTCCGATGTTTGTATTACTTTCAGTTCTTTCAGCGAGCGGCTAAGGATGAGTTATGCCGTCAGAATAACTTGTATGTTCAGCCGTATGCTTGCTATGAACTTGGCTGTCTTCTACTAGATAAACCAGAGGTAAGATTTGGTATATATACACAATGCGCCTGTGTGTGTGTGTGTGTGTGTGTGTGTGTGTGCGTGACGTCAGTTTATTGAACTTGGTGTTAGTCACTTTGTTTTCCTTGGCTGTGTGTCAGATGGGGCCAAGAAGCTAGTATTTCTGTCTCCAAGGAGGGAATGTCTTCTCCGGCAAGAATTGCCAGTAATTCCTGAGACAAAGATTCATTCAAGGCAAAATCATTGCCTTTTTCACAGATGAAATATTGTAGTGGAGAAGAAAATTGTGTTATGGTTCTAGCTCTTCCATTTACTTAAGTGTCTGCCATTGGTTAAGTTACTTAATCACAAAGCTTCTTCCTGACCTATGAAACACGATTTTTTAAAAAATGGCCCTCCGTAGCAATTTAATAAATATGATAGTGAGAAGAAATGAAGGTCATTTAATATTAATACTTCAGACATTTCAGGGTACCATACAAATGTAAGTTGTCGGGTTTGATTTAGATGTATATTTAAGTTAGTGAGATGGATCCCTGGGATGTGTTTTGTTTGTTTTCTTTAATGGGATTTCAGTAGTGCCTAAATTTAGTTGATAACCTTCTTTGAGAAACTTGATTGTAAGAGTTCCATATGTTGGTTTTAATAAATTCAACTCAGCTTTAAATACATGGGCTTCCTAAGCATTTAGCTAAGCCATTTAAATACATGGGCTTCCTAAGCATTTAGCTAAATCAATTGAAGCACAACTCTTAAGTGGATAGACCATCTTGCATAAGACAAGTGTTTCTTTGGAGATTCTTCTAATTTGTTTCTGTAATTATATCAAAAGAGAAAATGTAACACAAATTTGTATCAAGACCTCTACTCTCTTAGTTTAAGGAAATACATACTCTTCCCCTGGTGTTCACATAAGTGTATATGGTCTAACAAGACTGGCCTGTTTTCTGAAAACAGTGAAATTCATACTTTCCTATTAGCAGTGCTTTCAAAGGACGATCAGCATGTCTCTCGATAAAACCTGTCATCATTAATTTGAGGCTATTTTGTGAGATTTTTAAGCTGCAGTATGGTACTTTACAAGTAGTGAAGACTGAAAACTATCAAGTAATCCTTGGTATAAACTAGTAAATATTTTCATGGTAAAGAAAACTTGAATTACTATACTTGATCAGTTGACTCTAGTGTCTCTGTCATAGATGGTTTTCAGTTACGTATTCTGTGTGACACTCTGTGAATGTAGGTATTACGAGATAATGTGTTTTTCTTATATTCATAGACTGTAGGAAGAGGCAGAACTCTACTGCTTCAAGCAAAGGTAAATGTCTCCCCATTGGATTCTCCCTTGTGGCCTTTCTTATCTTGCTCTTATCTTGTCCATCTGAGTTCAGGAAAATTTGTGAAATGATTTTTTTAAGTGGAATTTCAAAGCTCTTAAGAAATTTCTGTGAAAGTAGTCAGGTGGCTTTATAAATGATCTTGTCTTAATGTTTGGGTAAGAAAATTATATTTCCTAGATAAATCTCCTGGAAAACTCCTGGGTTCATATGATTCTCCAACCTTAGCCTCCTCAGTAATAGATGGAGCTGCGGGTGTGCACTACCACACCCAGCTCCAAAGAACATACATCTCTGATTTTAGACAATGTTCTTGAATTAAATGTGCAACTTACTTTAAGCATGGTTTAAGATGACTGTTTCAAGAATCACCCGAGGAAAATATCCCAAAGAGATGATGATGGACATCCAGTTTACCTTTTTTGTTTATTGACATGGGGCTCCCAGTTCTACATGGCTGAGCCTGATCTTAAACCTGGCATCTTCCTGAGTATGGAGATTACACGCATGAACCACTATGCCTGGCTACATTTAAAAAAAACAAAGTTTGAGGTTTGGGGAGTAAGAAAATAGATGTAGAGCAGCGTAGGGCACTCCACTGTGAGTGTAAAAATGTAGCGTGCCTCTTCCATGCAAGCTGACCTAACAGTGCACACCTCTTTCTCTGGTCTTCCAGGAGGATTTCTCCGGCTACGATTTTGAGAACAGATTGCACGTCCGCATCCACGCCGCACTGGCCTCCCTGAGGGAGCTGGTTCCTCAGTGACAGGCCTGCTGGTGGCCACATTGTCCCTCCCCTCCCAGGGTCCACACTTTAAAATAAAAGCTGAGGACCAACCTGTTGTGAGGATCAGCTTTTCTTCTGACAAACCACCTGTGCAGGGACACATTCTTCCGGTGACACTAACACATTGACAATCTCCTCTTTTAAGCCGGTAGCTAAGGTGTAACAATGATGAAGATGGTGGTGGGGGTGGTGGTGTGGGGGTGGTGGTGGTGGTGGTGATGATGATGGTAATGATGATGGTGGTGGTGATGGTGGTAGTGATGGTAGTGGTAATAATGAACCACCGGGCAAGGGGGAGAGGTTAAATGACCTTGTTTATTTTGGTTTTGTGACTTATTATTTTTAAAATAAAATCAAAGTCCCTATTCACCCTGGAGTCCTTGTAGGCACGCACACCTGAAGCACAGATTGAATGACTGACCTGAAGCTGTAATCTGTAGAGGAATGACCGGTATACCGTGACAGAATGTTTATATTTGTGTTTTGAAAATCAAAAATAATAAAAGTGCTTTCTATTATTGTTTTACTTTAGCCTCAAAATATTCCTATGCACAATGTAGCACAGATACTCCTATCACCATTTTCTAGGCAATGATACTCAGGAACACAAAAAAATGATTTATTCCACTTAGAACTTCATGTTATCCATTTAGCCATGAGCAAACAGAAACCAGATCACCCAACCTTTTATGATAATAACCCATAATTCCATGTTTTATTATTAAAAGAACAGATGCTCTTCAGCTGAGGTGGCGTCATCCCCAGAGTTTCTGCAAAAGGTTTCAAAGCGGTGAACACATTTTTTTCCTCTGAAAGCCAACCAGATAGGAACAGGTAGGTGGTGGGTGAGATGTGTTGCTAATCTATCTAAAAGCCTGGTCTTTAGATAAAGAAGACTACCTATAGATTAGGAGTCACTCTTTCTTCATTTAAAAAAAATGTCTGATGACCCAACGTCTGAAAGTTATTCTTGAAGGAATGTTGATTTGTGCCTCAGCATATTTGATGGTAGGGTATTTGTGGGCTCTGTATTGCCAGGAGTTAATCATTTTCCCCTTAGCTCAGGTTATTAGCTATTCTAAAAGCAATTCAAAGGTATTTTTTAATCCTTCATTGCTAATTGTTTTAATTTACCTCCATACCAAGTACCTCACACCTGTGGTTTTGAATAATCTAAATACCTCAGTCACTTTTAAGAATCTTTGCAATCATTTGGCTCCATCTTTGAGCTAGGTTTTTTTTTTAATTGAACTAAATGACATTGTTTAGGGTAATACTCACTTGCTGAAGCACGACCTCGTGTGATTTAGTATTTTAATATTTATAAAACATGGGACCTGGGCTGGGAACGTGGCTCAGTGGTAGAGCACTTGCCTTGCATGCATGAGGCCTTGGGTTTGATTCCTCAGCACCACATAAGCAGAAAAGGCCAGACATGGCGCTATGGCTCAAGTGGTAGAGCGCTCACCTTGAGCTGAAGAGCTGAGGGACAGCGCCCAGCCCAGTGTTCAAGCCCCATGACCCCAAAAACAAAACAAAACAAAATGGGACCTGGAATATGCAAATTTTAACTGACTTGGCTTTGTTTTGAGGGTCAGAATGTCACTCAGTGTTAGAGCACGTATCTAATCTCCCAAACCCCAGAGCATTTAACTCTTGTTTTGAGGAAATAAGTTCTTTGAAAGAAGCCACTTCTCACTGGTTTTGATCAAACTAACTTTGTATTTCCTCATCTCTCTTACTGAGACTATTTTTGAACAGACTTTTTGCAGAGCCAGTGTGGAATCACATTGGCTTCTTGATGTGAATTCCATGTTGATTTTTAACACTAGCAAAAGAGAAAAGATTGTTGTCCTACACGGGGTGCACATCCAGGAGCCAAGAAAAGAGAAGCTCATGTGTAAAAAATATCTGAAGCCTGATGACTGAAGTTCCTTGACAAATCTTTAGAGTATGGTTATTACTGTTTTAAAATGACTGGTTTTAAAAATTACAGATTTTTTAAAACCTGAAAACAGATTTGTGCACTTAGTTGCTTTAAAATCACTTTTATTTCTCCATAGAGATGTCAGGATTTCGAATCACGTGTTTAACTCACAACTGCATAGGCAACGTTGCATCACTATCACATAGATTTTCTTCACCAGTCAAGCCTAGCTAAGTCTGTGGGAAAACAGTCTCTCCCAGCCTTAGTTCAGATAACCCTTGTGTTATATCTGTGTTAGCCCGGTGGTAGCCCATCAAGAATGGGGAGGTAGAGATTCTTAAAGACCCCAACATCACAAAACCATAGTGCGAGCACTATGGTGCTGGCAGAAACCTGGTATGCTTTGAATTGAGTACTTGCTAACAGTTATTTGGCCTGTGTGCTGTGATTTACCCAACGTGTGAACTGACTTGTCATCTGTCTGGTACTTGGTTTGGTATAAACTGTTCTTGTCCCCTTGCTGATGAAGAAAACAATCACTTGCATCTATGTGTGCTCCCTCCCCCATGTCATTACTACTCTTTCCCCTTTCCCTCTTTGGAGGCTCTCAAATGGAATTTACAAATGTCAACTATATTTTTATATTAGATTCTGCCTATGGTGAGAGAACTCTGTGATGTGTATTTTATGTATGCTGAACACATTTTTATAATTTGGCAGACTTGAAGGAATGGTCTGATAATAGTATGTATCTTGCTGGCTAATATATTTAAGATTTTATGTTTATGAAGCTATCATTTTTTAGAGTATGAGAGCTAAGCCGCCTTCTGAGTAAAGGATTAAAACATTCAGTTGTCACAGCACATTAGAATATATTGTGGATTATATAAGTTACTTATTTACCGAACTTTCATTTTACTGCCAACTAAGATTAAAGGACAGTGCACATCAGATATTTTAAAATGCACATATTTTCTTTGCTGTGTGAACTCTTCTAGTTGATTTCTGGAATTGTGATAGCATATATTCAAATACGGCTTGGTATGTAGAAGATTCAGCATTTGTGCGGTCATAATGTCCTGTTTGGGTTTCTTTGGGCAGTATATTTTGTAGAAGGAAAAATCTTTCAACACCAATCATTATAAGAAACTAGGCTGTAACCGGGTGCCGGTGGCTCACACCTGTATTCCTAGCTACCGAGGAGAATGAGATCTGAGGATGGTGGTTCAAAGCCACCCTGGGCAGGAAAGTCTGTGAGACTCTTATCTCCAGTAAAACCACCAGAAAACTGAAAGTGGTGCTGTGGCTCAAGTGGTAGAGCACTCGCCTTGAGCTGAAGAGCTGAAGGACAGCACCCAGGCCCAGAGTTCAAGCCCCACAACTGATAAATAAACTAGGCAGTAAAGAGAAAAGCTAGGAAGAGGAAATGCAGAAAGAAAAAGGAAGCAAGAGAATGGAAATGGGCTCCGGATAGATGTGGACCCTCTGGCCAGATATGTGGCACAGTGTCCCCTCACTCTTGTGACCCATGGGAAGGAGCTGAGCTCTATTTCCCAGTTGACTTGGGAATGAGGTAGACCTTTGGGTCACACTCACTTCCACAGGCCAGTGGTTCTGAGTTTTTACACTTTGCAGATTAGTCCTCTTGTGAGAACCAGAAGCAGCAAGCTCTAAGTAAAACTTAGGAAAGTATTTTGAACAAGCTTCTGGATGATTCCAATGTAGGTAGTCTGCGTTAAGAGAAATAATCCCTATGTTGTTGTCTTTTGTTATATTCTTAGTACATTGGGGAGAAGAATCAAAACCTAGGGAATGACATAGCAAGGATAAACAGTGTAATAAGAACACCAAGGAAGTGCTTCTAAACCACTGGCTTCTAAGGAAGACATCTGAGTCTAGCTTGCGGTCATGTGGTGGCTGGAGGGGACTCAGTTGTTCTCTTTTGGGAGTCATGTGGAAGCCAGTGAGTGGAACTTTTGGGTTCCACTGAATGAGAATTTGGGACCTGGTGCAGGGGAAGTGGTTAAGGTAGATTTGCATTTTAGTTAGATCACTGGTGGCCAAGAGAAACACAAAGGCAGGAAGACTGAAGCCACATCACATCATTTCAAGACCAAGAAAACTAAGCAGTAAATTTGGCAGTGGTTTGAAAGTTCTTGGTCATATATTTTCACTGTAACAATTTGCATTTCAGAGTGACTCAGTCCTTGAGGAAGTGAAAAAGTAAAGGCCACCCGTCTACTTACAGGTATTTCTACTCGGTACCTAACATGTTCGGATAAGTTAACAGTGTTTAGGCTACACAGCCATAAATGGGATCTCTAATGCCTCGACTTAGGGTTTCCAGCAACTCCACCTTTGACAAAGAGAAGCCAAAGCTAGCAGCAGGCACAATAGCTCAGAATTTAACTGTTTTGACAGCTGGACAGTGGTGAGTGATGAAAGATGAAAAAGTATACCATCTTCACAAGAAAAGGGAACTTCACAAGAAGGGGTAACTCAGTGATAATTAAATCAGAGTGAATTCCCCCCATAAAAATCAGAATATGCTATCTGTAGCCCAGATGTAAATGGAGGCCTTAGTTGTTCCTGAATTCTGGAAGGTGTTTTTGGACATCTTGATGCTATTTAATGGTTGAAGGCTGCTTGTAATCAGACAGTCATGATTAAGATGTGATTTAATGCTCGGCACAAATGAACTTGAGCAGCAGAGTGGGTGTTTTTAAAAAGGGCAACGTTAATTTGGTAATGTCAGCGGAATAGTCTTGGCCTTGCCACCTGTGGATGACAGTTTAGGTGGGGGAAGGGAGGCTGTTCCCCAGGCTAATTGTGGAGAAGCCTGAGTCTCAGGATGAGTGCCAAGCTAGTCATCCCACAGGCGTGTTTGCCCAGCAGAAGAGTGTCCTGTGGCTGACAGGCATTCGCCTCCATACTGTGTGTACACGTGGTAGAAGGGATTCTTCCTAAAAGTGACCCAAGATTTAGGGCTAAGGGGTTATAAGTGAAAATGAGAGGCAGAGATGTCAAAATAAGACCTCCATAAACATACTGCTCTTTTTCTTCCAAACCAGTTTGTGTTTCAGGTGGTGGGACAGTCGCCAGACCCACCCCCGGCGGTTTGGAAATGCCAGTTTCCCAGCGCGTGTGGTCGGTCTGCTCGTGGAAAGGGCCAAGCACGTCTCGCTCCTCCCTCGGAGTGCGAGCCTTTGTCTCTTTCGATTCCCGATTGGCTGGGGCCGCTATTGCTCCGCCTCCTCCAGCATAAGAGGGCGGAGCTTTGTGACGTATGCAGTGACGACATCCGAAGGTATAAATAGCCCCGCGGGTGTTGAGGTCTCACAGGAGCCGCCGGTGAGGGGGCACCGAGGAAGCCCTATTAGAGGTAGCTGGAGAGCCGGAAGTGGGCGGGGCCGGCGTCGGGGCCGGCATCCTGGACTGCGCCCAGGGGCCGTTAGGGCTGGGGCCGGCGGTGCCTTTAGTGTGGGGGAGGCGGCGGGTCCCCTGGGGAGGGGCCGGCTTGTAGGAAGCTGGGACAGCAACTGGATGGCGGAGGTTGGTGTGGGCCGCGGGCGCCCCTGGCCGCCTGGGGTTAGAGCTGAAGGGCACGCGCCTCCTCCCGGTTTCACTGCGGTTTTAGCAAATGTAACTAGGGCGGAGACCCGAGGTGCCCACAGCCACGCCGGGGTGGGGGGGGCGGGGCGCGCTCGCGGCGGGGGTGGAGCGTTGCACCACGCTGGGGGCGGGGCCAACGGGCAGGAGGCGGGGCTCCGCGCGGGGACGTGGTGGGCACCCAGGAAGTCGCTGTCCCCTCCAACAGCCCTCGCCATGGACGCCCCGCTGGGGGGGCGTGGTGCTGTCGCCGGTCTCCAGGGAGCACTGTCCCGGGCGCACTGAGAAACGCGGTGGCCCCAACGAGAGGGTGGTGCTGGGGCAGGTGACCACCCGGGAAGAACACGGGGTGCTCCCTGGCTTCACCACCCACCGTGGCTGGCGCTCACGGCCTGGTCAGCCGTCATCTGCAGGGACAGACCACCTCTCCCTACCCAGACATTGTCAGTGTCCTCCAGCATTTCCTCGCCGGCCTGCCACAGCTGCACTGGCGTGTGTGTGTGTGTGTGTGTGTGTGTGTGTGTGTGTGTGTGTGTTCAGAAGAACACGACTGTAGTCCTTTCCTGTCGGGATTCATCCACTTCTCGAAGGCGTCACCTCAGCTAGTTGTTATTTTGTTCTGACCTCGGGTAAGGTGAAATGTGCCTTTAGGATATCCACCTCTTTTTGCTATGACACTTTCATTTTTCATTAGAAGCTGGTCACTGGTATAGTTGCTGTCACCCAACAGTGCTACTTAGCCCCATGAAACGTGTTACCCCAGGTACTGGAGGGATATAGTTAAGGTTCATTATGTCATCATATTCTGCTCTTTAGGAGGTCCTATGGGAGAAAATTTCTTTTCCTCAACCACTTACCCACACCTTTCCTATTCTGTGGAGGTTGTATGATAGCTCAGGAATGGATTTGAATACCCGTGTCTATCCAAGTGAAGGACCTATGGTTTGTGCTGGGGTGCTAACCTCACCTATAACTTCATCTTATTTTTCCTACTATAAAGTTTCCTTACTAATGAACAGATGACTTCATGTGCATCACCAGGCACTTTAACACACTTAAGAATCAGACACATACACCCCAGAGAGGATTGAATTATGAGCTAGACAGTATAATACCTTTGGTACCACTTCAAAGTCATTCAGGAAGAGGGGAAAGATAGGTGGAAATTAGGGCAGAGAGAAAGGAAAGCTATGAGAAAAAAAAGTGTGTATGATGGCAGGTGTCATAGTAAATTACACTTATGATTAATATTAACAAAATAGGCAAAACATTCATACTTAAGGATGAGCAATGTGTCAGGGGATATATTTAGGGAAAAATGCCATTTTCTGGCTGAACCACTCAAAGTTCTGAAAAGCCAATGCTTTTTTTTTCAGACACATAATTTGTATTTCATGAAATTTTACAATCACTGGATTTTACAGTGATTCTTTATTTTTAATCTCCTGAGAGTCCTGGCAGGACTTTTCCTAAGTATTTTTTACTTTTATTTTTTGTTATTATAAAAGTAATATAAAGGTTACAGTTATATGTCAAGTAAAGAGTACATTTCTTTATGGATGATGTCATCCCCTGTGTATTCTTTTTAAAATACTAGATTGCTCATCCACACAAAACTGGTAGTGGGTTTTTGGGATTGTTATCAGTAGGTATCCAGTTTTACTAAAATATCTAGAGATTAGAACTTACCATTAGTAATTTTAATATAATATAGATTTCTCCTGGGAAAACGTAAACCATAAGCATTTCAATAGAAAATACACTATGGATAACTTTGTTTTTCTTCATTATAGTTGAAATTACAGACATCCTGCCAAAATGATTTCTTCAAAGCCCAGACTTGTCGTACCCTATGGCCTCAAGACTCTGCTTGAAGGAGTTAGCAGAGCCATTCTCAAAACCAACCCACCAAACATCACCCAGTTTGCAGCAATTTACTTTAAAGAACTTATTGTGTTTAGAGAAGGTTTGTTACTGTTTTACATTATGTACATAGACACATATGTACATGCATACATATTATGTGCATATGCGCAGATATGCACACAGATGCATATATACATACATGTACATGTATGTATATATTTGAAACAGCATTTTACGTTGGGAATTTTATGTATCTATATCATCTTCTGTTTCTATTCCTTCAGGGAATACTTCTCTGGATATAAGAGATCTGGTTAAGCAATTTCATCAGATTAAAGGTAAGTGCCACAAGTGGTTATAGTTTTGTTAATATTGGTTCTAAGTTATTGCATAATTGCTAACTTACATTCACACTTTCAAATGATGCTTACTTGGAAGGAGGATCATTCATGGTTCAAGGACAGCTCTGTCAAACCTTAGGAAGACTACCTCAAAGAACAAGTAGGGCACGGTGTTGCATGCCTGGTTCAGGAGGAACAGGTAGGATGTAGAGCACCTGCTTAACATATATGAGGCCCTGTGTTTTGTCCCCAGATCCACTGAAACTAATCAATCTAAAGACAGAACTACATAGCAGAAGCTGGTGAGGTGCTTAAGCTAATGGACCTCCTCTAGTGCACAGTACTCACTCCAGATATAAGCCTGAATCAGATAAAAACCTGTATTCATAAGAATGCTAAGTTGGGCTCTCCAAAGTTTTTGCCATTGCTTAGTTTACTGCCCGTGAGCATAAAAAATCTGGATATAAGAACATGCCTGAATGCCTGAACACATCGTTTTGTTTTAGTTGTATACTTTCTGGAAAATTTCCCCCCTAGAAATACCATTTTTGAGAACTTTACAACTTTGGCTGGGGGACGGGGGTCAGGGGGGCGGGGGGGAAGAGAGATGGGAAGGGATGGGAAGGGGAAACAAAAGAGGAGGCTACAATGCTTGATAAAAAATGTACTCATTACCTTGCCCATGTAATTGTAACCCGTCTGTACAGTATTTTCACAATAAAAAAAAACTTTTGCTAGTTCTCTACACAGAAACAAATACTTAAATTCATCTCCTCAGTAGCTTTAAACTTCAGGGACCGTCAGGTGATGGAGAGAGTAGAAAAAGATGTGGACGTGGGAATGAACTGTGTCATCTCTTCTTTTGCTCGGAGCCTACTGTCTTTAAGATGGTGCCTGGTCTCTCTGGGGCCATCATTGTACCATTTCACCCACAGATGCTCATTTCCAAAACAACTCTTCAGTTTGATTAAACAGATCCTTGCTTTCTTAAAATCCTCTTGGGAGAATTTTGTTAATAGGAGAGTGTAATAAGTGCGCATGTGTGCATGTGCGCATGTGTGCATGTGCGCGTGTGCTTGCTCACCAGTACTGGAGCTTAAACTTAGGAGCTGTCCCTTAGCTTTTTGCTCCAGTTAGCACCTGAGCCACAGCTTCAATTCTAACAGACAGTTTAAATCAAGAGTCATGCTCTTCAGTTCTACTACTTAATATGTGCTAGGAAAAGGGAGATGGGATAGAATGAATATTTTATCAACCATTTTGTTCTAGATACTTTATTCTAAATATTTTGTCAATTCAGACTTTGAGGTAGGCAACATCATTGCAACTTAAACCTGAGGTTGGGAATGACTCACTTCTAAGTTTCTAAATATTAAGGTGATAAAATTAGAATCTGCATTTAGATCTCCCTGATATCACAGTTCCTATTTTCTTACATTATAAGATAACATTCTGTGGTTCTTGAACTTAGTCATGAACTCTAGCTCCTTTCCCATGTGAATTTGACACTATCACTTCACTTTCTCCCTTGTCATCTACAGTGAAGCTTTAGCCCCGATGTTACTAATGCTGACTTTTCACCCCTTGGTGAAGAGCTGTCTCCTTTAAGGTGGCAGCTGATACCTTACAACCAGTTATCATCCTTCCCCCTCGCCCACTCCCAAAAAGCTTAATTGCACCCAGTTTCCAGTGTCAGCCTTCAACAGAGAACTTAATCAAGTCCTGTATGTCGTTCAATGGTGGGGCACCTGCTCAACCTATATGAGGCTCTATGTTCAGAAATAAATAATTTTAAAACAGAAAGACAAGCTCATCTAGATGCTCAACTGAGTTACTGTTAACTTTTCTAACCAACCCTGGATATTCTTGGATGACTGACTTAGACATAAAATAATAATTACAGTTGTGAACTGCTGCTGCTCACAAGGCTCAATTTCTATTTCTCTGTAGCATCACAACATGTATCTTAAACTATGTATTCACATTGAATGTTAATAGTAAATACTGAATTCAATATATAACCAATTAAATTGCAGATGCCTTACTTTTAGAGTTAACTATATACACTGGTGACTATCCATTCATAACCAAAAGGCTCCTACCCTAGTCTGCAACTTCCCCGCACCTCTTCTCATCTTTCATGTCACATTTTCCTAAGGCTTACGTTGAAAAGAATAGGTTAGCTACCCACACTAAATCAGATATTGGAAAATAAATGTCTTTGTATATTGAGACTTGAATACTTTCTTTAAAATACTTAAGGACTGACTATAGCTGATTGTTCCATCTGGCTGTTTTTAGTAGAGAAATGGTCAGAAGGAATGGCATTGGATGAGAAACCAGAATGTGGAAAACAACCAGAAGTAACATCTATTTTCCAAGAACCTACACGGATGGAAAAATCTACAGACACAGAGGAGGACAATATAGCTGGACAACAATTTAGCAACAAGACCACTCAATTTCCAGCAGTTCATGCTGAGATCCCACAGCCTGAGGAGACAACTGAAGGAGTTTGGTGTCCTCCTTCCAAACCATCCACACCTAAGACTACCACCCCATCCACATCACCACCGCCAGCACCTGTCTCAGCAGAGTTTGCCTATGTCCCAGCTGACCCAGCTCAATTTGCTGCTCAGATGTTAGGTAATAATCCATCTCCTCATTCTGATTCATCTGAAGTTTTAATGGTGGACGTGGCAACAAGTATGCCTACTGTTATCAAGGAGGTGCTGAGCTCAGAGATGGCTGAAGAAGTTGAGGTGCCCACTCATTATGTGTGCGCTGGAGAGGTGGTAGAAGTGCAGTTTTTGAGCCAAACATCTGTGCAGGTAGATGTGTGCCCTAAAGACCAAATGGCTGAACCAACAACGGCTTCCTCAGCTCCCTTGCAGGTTGAACAAGAACCTCCTCTTTATGATCAAGCTCATGATGCCCCTTTGCAGGCTGTCCATGTATCATCTATATATAATGATGCGCCTGTCATTGAAGGAGTTTTCTATGTTGAGCAGGTACCAGAATACACAGTTATCCCTTTTACTGATGAAGTTGCTTGCCTTAAAGAAAATGAGCAGTCACCACCAGTTAGTCCCAAACCTGTAGTACACCAGACAGCTTCAGGCATGTATAGACAATCTGCAGAGTCTGTAACTCTTGTACAGGAGGAAAATGCAGAATCTATAGCCTTAGTACACATGGAAGCAGAAGCTAAAGTTCTGCTCTCCAATACTGCTTTAGATAGACGGTCAGTCTGAGGTACTGCAGAACCCCTGGATGCAGAGGACTTTATTGAAGTAGCCTCTGAACAATCTCTGCATATTGAAGAGGTGGTCCTTACTATAGAGACCCTGGCAATACTGGGCAGGAGTCATCTCTGCTCCAGGAAACAGAGGGCATACACGCAGCAGAGTACCAAGGGAATCTACAGTCATCTGGTGACCCCTTCACTCCTGCGTCAGAAGGTCTTCCTAAACTGGAAATTGGACCAGAAGGGGAAGCAGCACCTGAGCAGGTTTGATGAACTCAGACAACTACACATTTATACACTGTGTGGCAGGTAAACATGTAGGTAGTATCAGTGTAGATTGGTTGATCTTGGTATTCAATAGTCTTTTTAAATGCCAAACCTATTTAAAGGCTTTGTTGTATGAAACTTCACTTTTAGGAGTAATTTTTTAAACATATGCCCAATCTTTGGTCATAATAGCACAAACAGTATTAACAGCCTGTCACATTTGTGTAATCTAAATATTGGGGGATGCTGCTTTGAAACTTCCTAAATGTAAAATTGAACTATAGCATTGTATTTGCATGAGTCATGGCATGTAAAATATGAAGGAAATGGTGGTGTTTGACTGCTCTCTCACCGAGTCAGGAGAGCTCTGCAGTAAGTGTGGGGTGCTGGCTCAAGCACTGATTCCTGCCTGGGAGAGAGGAAAGGCCACGGTTGAACTGTCACACAGGGGGACAGGGAGGTGGCAGCAGTGAAGGGGGGCATAGCTAGTGGCTGTAGTTTCCATGCTATATTAGACAAGTACCCACTTTAAGCTGTTTCTTGACTCACCTGCCACTCATGTTTTCCTGTGACACAGATTTGACCTCCATCTCAATCTAATTATGGCATTTGGTCTGCCAATCCTCCTTGCCCCATCTTAAGAGGAAAAGGGTTATGCTTGAACCACACCTTCCCATTCTTTCGCAGAAACTCTCAATTCTGACTCAAACTAGAATAATACAGAATTGTTACCAAAGAAGGTGTTGAGCAAAGATCAAATTTTGTTTGGTAGTGTGACAGAGATTTGGCACAGCTGAACAGGCAGAGGGCAGCCTGTGGAGCTGGCATCATCCTTGTGGCTAAAGCAGCACTTCAGACCAAGTTACTGTTTTCAGGTGCTTAACTATCCTAATCACTAGAACAGATAACTAAGGAAACAAGATTGAGTTCCCAAACTCTCCTATTTGAAAGGACTGAAAGGCTTTGGCTTGTGTGTGTTTTTTAAAACTTTGTGAAGCTATTGCGAACCAATCAGCATACTGCACAGTGTTCTTCCCTAGAGGATGTGCCAAGGGCAGAAGATGAATTGGTACACTTGTGCTTCTAGGTCCTCATCCTCTGCCTCTCCAAGGCAAGTGCCAGATCCATTTGGCAAGTCATACAGGCATTGTAGATTGCTTAGTGTATGTTGATAGCTGGCTTATCTCTTCACTGCTATTGAGAGCGTATGATTTTAAGCCTGAGATCTATTAAGGGCCAGGACATTTGACTGTGGTCAAGATGACAGCTAATGCCTGACTTGCTTTCTCTACTTTTTCAATGAAGCTGGTTTCTATAAAGCCAAAAGCTTTATTGACTCCTCCTTTCTGGGCATCCTATAGAAGCCATATCTAAAGTTTAAGAATCTGGAAACAGCCACTTTAAAATGATTGCTTTTGTCAGCCACAACTATAGTGTCCCTCCACTTGGTATCATGCACAGTTTTTTTCAACTCTCCTCTTTCACATTACCAGGCACAATTATCTAGCCTTGTCTATCACATGCTTTATGGCACATTTATAGAGCTGTTCGTTTAAAAGATTTAAAACATTACTATGCATAGCACCTGGACCAGAGACCAAACCTTTAATGCTTGCAATTATTTTTTTATAGCACTAGCAACAAGTGAAGCAGGACAACCACCACCCTATTCTAACATGTGGACCCTTTACTGCCTAACTGATATGAATCAACAAAGTCGCCCATCACCGCCACCTGCATCTGGGCCTTTTCCCCAAGCAACCCTCTATCTATCTAATCCTAAGGATCCACAGTTTCTGCAGAGTCCACCGAAAGTTACTTCTCCAACTTATGTGATGATGGATGAAAGCAAGAAGGCCAGTGCCCCACCTTTCATTTTAGTAGGATCAAATGTTCAGGAAGCCCAGGATTGGAAACCTATTCCTGGACATGCTGTTGTCTCACAGTCAGATGCCTTGAAGAGATACGCTGCAGTACAAGTACCCATTGCTGTTCCTGCAGATCAAAAGTTCCAGAAACACACCTTAAATTCCCAGAATGTTAATCCTCCTACAAGTGGACAAGATGGCCCCAGACCACAAAGTCCAGTTTTTCTTTCTGTTGCTTTCCCAGTAGAAGATGTAGCTAAAAAAGGTTCAGGATCTGGTGACAAACGTACTCCCTTTGGAAGTTATGGTATTGCTGGAGAGATTACTGTGACTACTGCCCATGTTCACAGAGCAGAAACTTAAAATGGTAGGTAAACCTTGCCTGCCGTATATGGACTTTAATATGCTTGGGTTTTTAGCATTTTGATTTGACCTAGAGATTGGGATATTTTTTAAAACTGATATGAGTTGAAGTATACTACTAATAAATGCCCAATATACGTGAACCAGTCAACCCAAGTCATCTTTGAACACATGGTACAGTCTAGAACGGGGGGATTATTAGACTGTTGCAAGGAATGGAAAATCCAGTTTAAGAAATGGGGAGGAGAAGAGCTGTAAACTACTGGAGAACAATGAGAAATGTACTGTATATGGCGCACTCAAGCTAAAATGCTAACTAAATTAACAACAGTTTAGCACTTGCCCCTAAATGTTGTGGACAGCAGGGTGAGTAAAAATATGGGCCTAGTGGGGAGACAAAGTACTAAGTACTAAGACGAGGTGCTAGAACTGAGCTCAGAGTGGTACATCCAGTGCCTGGCAAGCATAAAGTCCTAGCTGTTTAAGCCTGAGCAGACAAGAAAACTGATCTGTGTTGTTAGTAGGAAGCATGCTCAGGCTTGAAAGAACACAGATTAGAGTACAAGAAATGCTCGATTATTTTTAAAAAGCACAGATAGTTAATAGGGCAGGAGGTTTAAATGTTGAGTTTCTGATCTCCAAATCATTTCAGATGTTTCATAATTGAATATTGGTTATTTCTAACAGATGATGAAAATGACTGAGTCAACATTCAAGCTGTTTGAGTCAACATTCAAGGTGGAGTCTACCACCACGCGTAATATTATATCAATAAACTTCCTGCAAGCATAGAACTTTGTATTCTTATTTTAAATATGTTCACAGACTTGTTAAATGAGCTTTCCCAGCCAGGCATTCTACTTGATTCTGTACTTGGCAAAAGCAGTAACGTCTCTTCACAACCCATTATTAGCCAGATTGAGTACTAAACTACCTACTTAACACTGTATGTTCTAGGCAGCAGCTTACCTCTTTCATCAGGACTTGAAAGAATACTGACTAAATGGCATTAGTATATTTGAAAAGAAATCACACTTTTGGGGAACATTCTAAAGCCTTTATTTAGCATCAGATTATTTCATTATAACACGTGTTAACTTCAAGATAGCAATTTACTGGCAGCTACCTAAGTAAGGCTCCTTGAGCACTATCTCAGTCTGGGTAGATAAATACTATGATTAATGAACCCCAATTATAGGGGCAAAAACTACTGTACAGTAGGTCTCCATATATATTTTTAAGTACCCAGGTACCTTGAAATGCACAAGACCTCCTTTTGATATAATACATGAGTTAGCTTAATTTCTCTGGCATTTGCCACTGTAAGCTCACACATTTTAAAAGGTTTGTCATTATGTAATAATGATAGTGACTAAAATATTTCTAGGACATGTTTGTGAAATGCTAGATTTTATACATATTTTCACTTAAAAATAAATGTTTTAATCCTAGTGACAACTGCAGAAAATTGTTATAGCAAATTCTTCAGAGCATGAAAACAAAATACCTTTTCCGGTATTGGGAAAATCTGAATATTCAAGTAGTTTTCTTTTGAAGGGGTAAAATTGAGATTAATATGAATAAAGCCATCTAATCAATAATTTAGTCTTTACAAATGACAACCTTTACATTTGAGCATATAAACATAGGAGAACTAGAAACATTTCAAAGTTACTTCTAAAACATATAAGCATAACAGCATAAAATATTTGAAAATATTTTGGGTTTGGGAGTTGTATGTAATTCTATAAGGCTAAAGTTAAATTTACATATAAACCTCCAGTAAATATGGCAACTGCAACCAGAAAAGGGACCTTTTCTCTTACCTCTCTGTAAAACAGTATTCCAAATGTATATGGACAGCAAAATTAGACATTTTTCCTGAGGCTTTCATGATCACCGTATGTCCTATCTTATGAGAATGCAAGTTAGCTTGTGAACAATTTTTTTTTAAGATGAGAAACTAAGGGAGAAAAATTTTTAAACATAAATTTAAGACTTATTTGTGGATTAGCCAAACAACCTGACTTGTCTGCATTTTAATAAATGTCAGGCAAATTGAAGTAGTTTCTGTCCCAGTAGCTTCCAGAGTAAATCCAGTCTTGGGCTCCATTGTAGGGATTGGGACCTTGATGGAACCACCTGTTGAAACACCAATGGAGGAGTCAATATTGTGCGTTGTATGCATGTTATAGAAATGACCTAATGAAGCCCCTTGGTTTCATTACAATTAGTAGACATGAATAAAGACAAGATATATGGGGGAAATAGTGCAAGATCACAAGATAACTGCTGCTTCACTAGCTTGCAGCTCTTCTCAATAATGACAATTCAGCCACCACTTGATGTACTATGAAAAGACCACTTGAATAAAACTTTCACTGTTTGGTAAAATTGTAAACAGCCACATTCTAAAAGGGATGATATCAACATAGCCACACAGTGCCTCTTCACAGGCCACCTTAATAGGGTTCTTAGGAACAACCAACCCAAGCAGTTCCTCCTCTGACTTAGGCCTTCCTTGTCTTCACTAGTGTCTTTCTCTAGAAGACACTGTTAAGCAATCTAGGATATTGAAATGAACTTACAAAATGCCAATAGTATTATGTATGATATCTAGTTCAGACATGACCCCTAGACTCAGCGCTCCATTTGTACATGAGCTGAATGCCAGGGAATTCCCCAGCTATTTGTAGTCCAAGCTAGTAATCATGGCAAAGGCAGCAAACATGTTTGATAAATTTAAGGACTATCATTTTTCTGATCTATGGTATACAATAACCAAGTCCAAATCTTCCTGCCTCTCAATCTCCTCAATATTCCTAGGCTTTTTCTCTTTTTTGGTGATACTGATACTGGATCCTGAACTCAGGGACTCCCACTTACTAGGCAGGGACTTTACCACTTGAGCCATGCCTCGAGCCCCTTCTTGCATTGGTTATTCATGAGGTCTGGCCTCATTTGATCCTGGTGCTGGCCTGGGCTAAGACCCTCCAGTTGTGCTTCCACATATTGCTGAAGATGGCAAGCACATACTACACTACCTGTCATCATTCTACCCCTGTAGGTGGGATATATACACCACTGTGTCCCATTGAGATGGAAGATCAATCTTTTATGCCTGGGCTGGTCTTGAACTTGATCTCCTGACCTCTGCCTCCCAGGTAGCCAGCATTACAAGTTTGAGCCATTTCACCTCTAGCTTTTAACATCTTAACCTGCCCTAAAGAGCTGCACTAAGTCATTTTCTTTCCCTTTAAAATGACACCCATTTTCCATAGTGCTAGCTTGCTGAGATAACAGTAATGTTAAATTACTTGCTGAAGAGGCTGTTACATTTGTTAACATTTTCCAAATAGGATATAGTTTCTAAGCCTATCATTCTGTCCAAATAAGTTGCTTCTAAAATATTTAACAAAAATGAAATTGGATTTGTGTGGTCCACCTCTTATCATTCCAACAATGAAAAACCTGAAAGAAAATGCTTATGCTCTTTATAATTAAAGAATTAAACATTAAATTCCCATTAAAACAACATTTTCCAGATTATCATAATAATAATACTTCAGGGACTATTTTCCAAATATCTACTTAAAGCGAGGGAGGTATGGGGTATTCAGAGTTTGCATATACCAGCAGAAAGTCTCAGGAACCATTATATAATCAAAATCACAAAATTTTGCAAGTCTAATGTAAGGTATACAGTTTGGCTGTAAAGTAAAATTTGCTTATAGAAATAAAATCAAGATTATCTAAAATAATTTTAAATGTCCATCAGGCCTTAGGCCCCATGCCATTTGATTTCTTGCACAGAAAATGGGGGGGAGGGTGTCAAAAGTTGGCAGGAAACATTTTGTAAAGTGCTATATTAACAGCAATTGGTGTCCTTGCTCACATGTAAACTCTAAGAGAACATTCTCTGAGGGATGTCTGCTAGTCTACTGTTTTTGGACACAGTTGAGTCAGAACACCAAGTGTACTAGATGTGAATCTGAGGAGTAATGGCCTACTATAGGGTCAGGAGCTCTTCCGACCTCCACTTCTAATTCTGAGCACTCATGTCCGGAAAGTCCTCCACAGCTATGATATCTCTCCCTCCCCCCACAAGAATTCAATTCATTTGTCTTTTTAAAGTCTTAAGCATGGCAAAAGAGAGTGGTTTCTCTCTCTCTGTCTCTCTCTGTTTTAAACTACCTTTTACTTAGTGCTTCAGTCTATTGAGTCCAAAGGTCAATATACTGCAAGACCAGGCTCAGACTATGGAGAGACTAACCCTCCCTTCTCTTGACGCCAACACGGTGTCTCCCACCTTCCCCCATGCCCTGCTTACTGATGTCCGTAAGCTCCTCTAAGGAAATAGGTCAAGATTACAACAACTATCCTCCTATGCAAAACTCTTACATAGCCTGAAAAGCTTCATAGCCTGAAGGCTCCTCAAGTGAGTAAAGTATTAAGCAGGAACACAAGCTTCTAGTATGGAGAAACCAGGGCCACATTAAAGCAAGTTTCTGGATTTGATTTCTAGGAGGGCAGGTGAGCCTTACACAGAAGAAAATGCTCTTGGGCAAAACTGACCACTTCTACCCTTACTCAAACTGAACCAAATGATTAAGAAACACGACAGTCCTGAGAGCAAAGTCAATGCTCTAAGCACAGGCTCTTTCCACAAAGCATCAGCAGGATCACTGGAAGGCTCCCCATGTTCATGTAGGAGCTGAGGAGCTGTGCAGCAAGCAGGTGTGGTCCCTAAAGTGACAGCTCACAAACAGTTCTAGCTTTTATTTTCACTCCATTTCTGGGCTGGCCAAAGATCTTTTATTTTCTGGATGTTAAAATATTTATACAGTAATAAAAATTCTCAGTGCAGGGCTAGGAAGGTGGCTCAGTGGTAGAGCGCTTGCCTTGCATGCATGAGGCTCTGGGTTTGACTCCTCAGCACCACATAAACAAAAAGAAAAAAGCTGGAAGTGGCGCTGTGGCTCAAGTGGTAGAGCACTAGCCTTGAGCTGAAGAGCTGAGGGACAGTGCCCAGGCCCAGAGTTCAGGCCCCACGACCAGACCCCCCCCAAAAAAAAATAAAAAAATAAAAATTCTCAGTGCACATTTTACTTAAAGACTTGAGAATATGACCAGAAAAAAATAAGGTAGTTAAAAATTAGAAGCATGGCACAAAGGCAGGGTTTTCTGCACAAGAAACTAGAACAAATGGTACAAATGTATCTAAGCTAGGCACTGGGAGCTCATGTCTAATCCTAGCTACTCAGAAGGCTGTGATCCAAGCATCACCATTCCAAGCCGGGGCAGGAAAGTCCATGGGACTGTGTGTTTGGGGGTGGGGGTAGAGAGAGAATTAATTTGAGATAATAGAAAAAGAAAAACTGCTGGAAGTGGAGCTCAAGTGGCAGAGTGTTAGCCTTGAGCATAAAAGCTCTGGGACAGCGTAAAAGTGGTTTTGACTGAGTTTAATGAAGGTGGGGTCTGCTACGTACAAGTATCCCTGAGCAGGGGTCTTTAAATGCACCACCATTTCTTTCTTCGGGTACAAAGAAGGGATTTCTAGGGCAGCAGTTTTCACACTGCATTCCACAGAGTTCAAGGATATGTGTAAGTGGGAGAAAGTCCAAGATTGGCTCAGACCTTCCCCTCACCCCTATCCAATCACAGCAAGCATGGGCCTGGGTTTTCTCTTCATGAGTACATTTACCACAAAAGAAAACAACTAAGCAGGTTAGATGATAGGTATGTAGGATCATTTTTAGATCTCATAATCATCTTTTTTCAGATGTTAAAAATAAAAGGACTACCAAATAAAGCCTATTGGAAAGCTTACAAAATCATGCTCACATGGGCTTTAAAATTTAATACACTGTAACTGATTTCTAACATAACAATTGTAAAAATGCTTTCATGTTTGCATTAATATAGTCAATTGCAAAATAGGACTGAGCAGTAAGCAACTTTTAAAAGAAAACTTTCAAAAGTTACTTTCTATTGCCCAATGGAATCTAAGACATTAACTTTGCAATCCTACTTCCATTAAAACTCAAATCCCCATATCTGGAAAAATAAAAGCATTCCCTAAGTATCAATAATAATGGTGTATATATATATATATATACACCATTATTATTGATACTTAGGGAATGCTTTTATATATATATATATATATATATATATATTTGCAAATGATTCCATAAGTTACTCATGTATGTGTGTATGCATGTGTCTGCATACAGGAGTATGAATGTATTTTAATGTTTACATCTCTGTGTGTGTGTGTTTGTAAGTGTGTGTTAGTCCTGGGACTTGAACTCAGGGCCTGAGTGCTCTCCATAAACTTTGTGCTTAAGGCTAGTGCTCTACCACTTGAACCACAGGACCATTTCTGACTTTTTGGTAGTTAACTGGAGATAAGAGTCTCATGGCTGGGTGATGGTGGCTTACATCTGTAATCTTAGCTACTCAGGAGGCTGAGATCTGAGAATCCTGATTCAAAGCCAGCCTGAACTGGAAAGGCTATGAGATTCTTATCTCTAACCATGGAAAAACTGGAATTGGAGCTATGGCTCAAAGTGGCAGAGTACTAGCCTGGGGCAAAAGAGCTCAGGGATAGTGCCCAGGCCGAGTTCAAATCCCATGACCAACAACCCGTCCCTTGGCAAAAAAAAAAAAAAAAAGTCTCATGGACTTCCTTGCCTGAGCTGGCTCTGGCTCCTGAGTAGTTAGGATTACATGCACAAGCCACCTAAGACAGACTCAAATCTTTTAATTCTGGGTTTTAGGTTCTCTCTTTAAATAAAGAATAGATAAGATTTCTTGGGTAAAAGAATACCTTGCTAGCTGGGTGCAGGTGGGTCAGGCCTGTAATCCTAGCTACTCAGGAGGCTGAGATCTGAGGATCAGGCTTCAAAGCCAGCCCAGGCAGGAAAGTCTGTGAAACTTTTATCTCCAATAAACCACCAGAAAACCGGAAGTGGCACTGTAGCTCAAGTGGTAGAGCACTAGCCTTGAGCTGAAGAGCTGAGAGACAGTGCTCAAGCCCCACGATCAACAACAACAAAAAAAGAAGACCTTGCTTAAATGACATGTGAAAACTATGTGGAAGTATTTTAGCCTCAGTTTCTCAAGTCATTTTCCACTGTCATGTATACAATTCTTTCAGCTTCAAAACTAAGAGTCATTGGAACTAACTTTTCTCAGATCTGGAACAACTTGGCAGGTTTATGTTAGAGAAGCTCTCATTCTGCCATTCATAGTGTCTGACATCTGGGTCTTGTCTCCACACAACAGCCCACCTTAGAGCTCAGCCGTACACTGAAGGAGACACATACCTTGTCTTCCAGTCCTCTTCTGACTTGGACCTGTTTTTGCGAGCTGCTCTTTGTTTTTCCTCAAGTCTTTTTTTTTCTTCACTAGCTTGATCTAAATAAAATATGAATATCAATTGAAAACATTTACTCTCTATGCAGAGAATGCGAGGAACAGTATTAAGCACGGTAACTTTATGGAGAGCCACTGTCCATATCTACTAGTATCATCTCTACTGTGCCACAACAGAAACACCAGTCAAGCAAGCATCAAGTTAAAGATCTAGCGCGTGTAGTTGGTATTTGAGATACCATTTTTCTGGGCAGCTGATGATTTTCATATGCATTTAAAAGAACCTATTAATAAAATTCTTCAAAAAAGGTTAAATGCTCCAGTTAAAAAAAAAAAAAAATCAGGTGGAGCCAGGCACTGGTGGCTCTTGCCTGTAATCAGGAGATCTAAGAATCACGATTCAAAGCCAGCCTGGACAGACTCTTATCTCCAATAAACAACTCAGAAAAACTAGAAGTGGTGCTGTAGCTCAAGTAGTATAGGGTGCTAGCCTTAAGCTCAAGAGCTGAGGGACAGTGCCCAGGCACAGAGTTCAAGCACAATAACCGAAAAAAAAAATCAGGTGGAAAAACTGCCTAAACTATTCTAAATCCTTACTGATACCTCACTGAACTACTTCCAGTGCTAGGTTAAGAAATTCAAGCTATCTTCCAGAATACTGTAGTACTGTTTCACAGGAGAGATCACAGTATTTTTTTTAAGACTTCGGTACTACGGACATGCTGGATGAGCTTATTATTTCTAGCTGTTCTGGTATGTAAGCAGCAGCAATGGCCTCTTAACTGCTCCTACCCTGAGATGTGGCATCCAAATTCTTCAGATTACATCATGTCCACCCCTACTTAAGAACCACTGAGTTAAAAGAAACTTAAACTTTAAGATTAAAAATGTTATAATTAATCAAGAGGAAGCCTCATTTTCTATGAGGTTCACAAGGTGACATATGAATTCTGAAATTCACATAGCAAGGTCAGCAGAATATGGTTTAAAGTTGACAAAGATGCTACATTCCCTCTGACATTTAAGGTGGGCCTGTGGCCATATACAGTATGCTAAATTATCAAGGGAATATTATTGAAGTCATAAATTTAAGCTAAATAATGTCAACTTCAGATTTTCAAGTTTAAAACAAGTTTATTAATCTAAATTTAAAAACCTCTAAAAGGCACTAAAATTGCCAGTACCCTAGTGATCATAGCAATGACCATCAGCCCCAAAAGAACCAGGAACAAACAGCTGCTCCTCACCTATCTCTCCATTCTCCATGGCTCTGATGTCTGGCCGCAATCTGCAGTCTGTCTTAGGAATCACACTTTCCATTTCCTTGTCTACTTCATTCAAAACCATTGCAAAGTTAGTAAAATTATACATCTGAAAAGAATAAAAGTAACCAGATGAATACTTGATGAGTATGGCTGACTGACATTTCTAATCTTAAAATGGAAGCCCTAAATGCAAGCAGTATTTTGTCACCCAGCCTCACTTTCATGATCATAACAGCCTTTCTCAAGCCACATGTCTAACAAATGGTCTGTGTATATTCTCAGAATAATCTCAAAGCAAGCATCAAAAATATTCCTGTCAAGTCTAGAAGAAAAAGGAAAGTATATACTGATTCTTTTTATCTTCCTTAAAAGCACTCCATGCTATGTCTGGAGGGCTGCTTCTGATTCAGCTGCACTCTATGTGGGGCTGCTCTGACTCCCAACCCCTAAGTAACTGTTAAGCCCCAGTGATGTCCCACCCAGCATGTCTCCCATCCAGACATCAGAAAAGACATATGACAGCCTATGTCTACAGAAAAGCAGCACAATGGACCCAACAGAGGCTGGCTATGGCCCGGTGCCACCTGGGAAGGAATGAAGTGTTGTCACATTCAGCAGGCTGAGTTCACCTGGGCAGAATTGGGAGGCCGCGGTGCTATTCGCCACAGAAGAACACTTCCAGGAATAACAAACACACTTTCAGAATCTGGCATTGGCATTTCATCAGATTCCTCAGAGTTGCTCATCTAGAAGACCAACAGATAAATGACAAATAATTGAAGTGAAATGCTTTAAAATACCTATTTATAATTTGTAAACTAAGCACCACATTATATGAGGGCAAAGACATCAAAAACTTTTTTTCCCCGTAGAAAGTGTTCTTTTCACATGCTCTGAAGTTTGGGCAGGAGCTCCAAAGGGTAGCAAACTGACCATGGTTTCAGAGAGAAGGCCAGGAGATGTTTAGAGGCCTTTAAAGGCCTTGAGGGTCTTTAGAAGAACCACTTGCCTGACTCAGCCTGAGAATGACAGGTTAGGCATGGGCCACTCATCCTCCTAGTGAGCTGCATTTCCTGTCTTCCAGGAGGTGGAAAGTCCAGGGGTATGTGGAGATAAGACCCTAAGGAGTAAGAACTTTTAGACCATGTGGCTTCCATGGATGGTTGGGTTCTGCACCACTCATCCTGAGATGGCTTCTGCACGTCCTAGAGGAGGGGGTGGCTATCCCATTTGTTGTGAATCATCAAAAGACGTTAGACAACCCAGAAGTCTTCATTGGCCACTCATGAAAGAAGTCAAGCACACCCTCTGCCCTTCAGATCCATAAGTCAGAGAAAGGCAAGGGTAGGAGGGTAGGAGGCCTGCAGATGCAAACTGATCAGGCTGTTGAAGCTTCTTCCTTGGTGGGATAATTCTGAGGAATCTGGGAGGTCATGGTTCATTGACAATAAGAACTAATCACAATGAACCCCAAGACAGGGACACAACTTGTTTTTTCTTTCTTGCTATTGTTTTTAATGTATCTAAAATGTACTATGTGATTTTTTTTTTGTTTCTCTTCTATGTTCTCCCCCCACCGCCTGTATAACCCCCGTTTTCACTGTATTTAACGTCGGTGTCCTGAATCTTGTATATACATTTTTCTAATTTGGGGAGAGGAAGGAAATAACAAAATGCTGAAACAAAGATACAGCTTGACCCATTGTAACAAGGAGATGTACAAGACACTATGTAGAAAACGAACTTTACAACTTGGGGTGGAGGAGTTGGGGAAGTGGGGAGGGAAAGGATGGGAGGAGAAAAACAAAGGAGGAGGTAACAATGCTCGATAGGAAATGTAATCATTACCTTACTCATGTAACTGTAACCCCTCTGTACACTATTTTTACAATAAAAATATTTTATAAAAAGAACTAATCACAAAAACCAGTTCTGACTGGTTTCTGGAAGCTAGGTGAGAAGATGGTGCTGGCAGTGTGGTTAGAGGCAATTGGAAAGAGCTTAGAAACTGGAAAAGAGTACTAGGCCTGTTCTGTCCAAACCTGGCTGAAGCAGAGACCGACTGCACAGCCTTCAGGTGTGCTCTATACAATGTCTTTCTAATTATTACGTCCTTGCCTTATCACAATTGTAGAATGACGAAATACATGCTGGAATCTCTAGAGTATGTCGGACAGTTATAATCATTTGTATGCAATGCAGCAGCAGCTTCATCACTACCCTCTATTTACATTCTAGGGTTTTATGTTAAGCTTTTGGTTGTTAAAAATAACTCGCTCAATGGGGCTAGGAAGGTGGCTCAGTGATAGAGTGTTTGCCTTACATGCATGAGGCCCTGGGTTTGATTCCTCAGCACCAATTAAGCAGAAAAATCTGGAAGTGGCACCGTGGCTCAAGTGGTAGAGCGCTAGCCTTGAGCTGAAGAGCTGAGGGACAGCGCGCAGGCCCAGAGTTCAGGCCCCATGACTGACAAAAACAAAACAAAACAAAAAACAAAAAACGTGCTCGAGTATTTACTGGGAAAAGTCCTAACTACTCAATATCAGAGAAGGACAGAAACTGCCCAATTCAAGAGGACAGCCACACACAACAGTGATGTTCAAAGAACAACAAAAGGTTACTTCTTGGAGCACATTAAATTCATCAGTGACCAGAGACCAGCAGCGTTTCTCAATGCACGACATAAAAAGAATTTTTTTTTAAAGTTGGACTAGAAAGGAAGTAACTGAAGCTACTTCCCCACCTGCCAGAGCTCTGGTAGGTGCTCCTAGGAATTAGCGCAGATCTGTGAGAAGCTGTTGTTTTACCATAGCTATGTACATTTAGAATCCAAGACTTTGAAAATTAACAAATCTAGAAGCACCGATTGAGACATTGTCAGTGAATAGATAGTTAACAAACACGAGGAGGAAACAAGGATGATAAAAGCTTCCTCCATAGGTGAATATGCTCAGGAACACCAGCAATCCTTGCAAGGGAGATGCACACAGGGGTGAGAGGCAGGCAAGGGATAAGTGTTGAGGGAAGGTCATTTTGCTGTGAAGACTGAGGGATTTGGAGGACATAATGAGCAGCTCCTGGGATTTTGCCAATGTCTTTTGCTGTCCCTTCTCAGTATAAAAGGGTGGGATGACAAATGTGCTTATGTGGTTGCTTTTGCCAAGCTGCCTTTTACTGGCAGGAGCTGTGGCCTCATGAAATCTATGTTGGGGTGGGGATGGGTCCCAAGATTCTAGGACATTTCCTTTTCCAGCCCCATTAGTTTCTGGACAGCTGTAGAAAACAGTGAGTACATTTTACAGAATGAGGGAAAGCAGGCAGGAGCGTGGGTTGTAAGAAGCAAAGCTAAATTGAGCAAATGAAGCTGAGGGGAAATAGAAATTAAAAAAAAGAGGCTAAAGCTGCATGCTCTGGCCTCAGAAGAGTGAAGAGTGGCTCAATTTACAAAGAAGGTCACTTATGAAAATAACCTGGGCTTTTGAGGAAAATGAGAGCTTATATTTTTACATGCATAAAAAAACCACTTAAGAGCACAAAAGACTAATTCAGTAGGTCTGAGGCGAGGGTTAGGAACCTGCCTTTTTAACAAATGCTCAATGATAGATGAATTATCAGTCGAGGGCATATTTGCAGAAAAAAATTTGTTAGTCTAAGCGACAGAGACTGCTTTGAGTCAACTCATCAAGCAAGTGGGTGCTATTAAAAACCTAATTTTACAAATTTTACTGAGGCCGAGGGTTGGGGACCCAGCTTTAGTTTGCACTATTCACAAATGGTAGACACACAATTCTAACCTCAATTTTGTACTTCTGTAATTTTGCTAGCTACTAGATGGAGCCAGTCTTCAAATACCTATCTCCTGTGTTAAGAGGTGCAGTCGTTCTTTAGCTCTCAGCAGTTCTGCTGAAAGAAAAGGATAGGAGACTGCTGGATATCAGAGCCTTTCTGTAGCAAGACAGCAAGCTATGTGACTGTTCGACAAAGAAGAATGTTAACATCAAGAGAATGGTCCAGTGACAGCATCTTTAACCATGATGGTGCACTGTCAGTCACTTCATGGTTAGGACAGATAACCATGAAAATGTGAGAGATAATTCTGGAAGAATTTTACCTACTCAAATCATTTCAACATAAAACAGTAGGAAATTTGTCTAAGATGAATTCCAACATTTAAAAGATACGTGAATTCAATAAAAGCCCCACCTAGAATTGCTCCACAGCTACATCCCATAAAAAATTGTCACTTTTATTTTACACAAAGGCAGATATCTGCTTACTTAAAAGATGCAAGAAGAATTACATGTGTTTCGCAAAACCAAAATGAAGTGACATGACCCAGGAACAGATCATTTACAAAAGGATTTTCATAAATGCAAAAGCCCAATTATTATTCCTTGTACGACCATACAGAATATTCACCTGTTTGCTGTTCTTCTTCTCTTCAGTGTTTCTCTTGTCATTTTTTTTGTAAGCCTCAAAAGTGGCAGGATCAACACTATATAAACACTCCGTCCACTTCCCATAGAGGGCACATAGCTTCTTTTTGCTGTCAAGAGAAACTGATGTTTATCCAACAAACCCATGTTTTGCTCTAATCAAATATTAATATGACAAACTTTAATGTCAAAACTTTACAAAAATAGATACTTCCTTGCAGAATCAAGTTTTCTGTTTATTAAAATGCTAACTTTATTAGTTTATGACAGATTTCATACTGACACCCTAGTTAACATCTATATCATTCAACATTTGAAATGGCAACGTTACCTTTTATCTTGTATGTAGCCTTCAACTTTGTGTAATTCCTTACCAAAAAGGCCACATGGCTTAAAATTTAACACACATTTGTCCCCAGTCCTGTAAAGTAAACAGTAAGTTCACATTAGCACTCAGTGTGCAAGATATGGGAGAGAACTGCAACTTTGATAAGCTTTCTGCTAGCAGCTACTATTCACTGATTTTCTTTACATGCCAGGGCCCACGCAGGAGTTGGCAAAACTCATCTTCTAACACCAATGTGCCAACCTTAAAGAAAAGATATGGGAGGCTGACAAGAAATAAGTGACCTGCCTAAAGCTCATCAGGATTTGAACTTTTTTTTTAAATTAGCATGTATAGTTGTACAAGGGAGGTTTCATTGTGACATTTCCATCTATGTACACAATGCATCACAGTCAATCTCACCTCCTCTATGAGTCTACTTACCCTTTTTATTAACTCTTATACCCTCCTCCCACCTCATATATTCAAGCCTATGTTAATAACACAAAGTAAACAATTATCCCTGGAAATGGGCTAAAGCTAGAATTAAGATGCACATGAGCTGGGGAAGCTCAGAGTTCACCCAATCTTCATTGATTAGGAACAATGTTACTATTCATTAAAAGGATAAGCGTCTATTAATTCTAGAATTCTGGTGTCCAATTTTTATATTTGTCACCAGGTTCTACTAGAGCTTATTGTTCTTCTTAATGAAGTGCACTGTAACTAACTGACAAAATGGGTAAGAATTCTAACATGCCTTACCTGTGGTTTGTGATTTCCACATTGCCATACTGCTCAATCCAGAGTTTACCAACAATGATATTATGCACACAGCAAGTGGGATTGGTCCACGTATATGCTTCATTGTGTCTAAAAGCAAACCCCAAACCCACAGAAGTGAGAAATCATTCTATTTGATTCAAGACATGATAAATGCCATTGACTTCAACTCACAGTTAGGCATCAGCTTCCTATTCTTATGATATTGTGTTTTGTTTTTTGGTGTTGGTACTGAGGCAGGGTCTGGCCACTGTCCCATAGTTTTTTTGATCAAGGCTGGTGCTCTACCACTTGAGACATATATCCCTCTCCAACTTTTTGGTGGCTAATTAAAGATAATAGTCTCATGGACTTTTCTCCCTAGGCGAGGTTCAAACTGCAATCCTCAGATCTCAGCCTCCTTAGTCTATAGGACTACAGACAGGCAGCCAGTTACATTCTTATGGCTTTAAAATGAAAACAAAAGCTTAAGAAAAAAAACCTGCACTGAACTCCAAATAAACTTAAGACAAATAAACTCTAAATACACTCACTAATTCAAAAAAATCTGAAATCCAAAATTCTTGAGTGCTGATATAACACTCAATGAATTTCAGATTTTGAAGTATTTGAGATCTTGGACTATCAGATTCATTATGCTCAACTGGTAGTCTATTCAAACATTCCAAAATCAAATAAGACTAATTCCAAAACATTCTGGTTCCAAGCATTAATCACAAAAGATACTCAACCTGTATATGATTATTATAAGTTGCAAAAGTACAGTAAAATATATGAAAAATAAAAGTAAAAAATAAAAATATCTATTAAAAATCTCTTGGGTTTCCTCCCATAAGGAATTTAAAACAACAAATGAGTGCATGTGAATATACTCCAATTGTGTCTATCCTGTGCTTTGAAAATTGTTTCTTTGAATATTTATCCTTAGATACATGTTTTAACATTACAGACTTACAAATGACAAAATTTATTTTTGCTGGTGTTCTGTTCTGTGAGCTTTAAATGCATATACAGATCTGTGTAAGCACCACTGACATAATCAGGAGAGACATATCCTCAACCTCCAAAATTTTCCTCTGCTTGCCCTAGTCACTCCATTTTTCATCCCTGAATCCCTAACTCATCCCTAATCCCTTACTCATCTCTCTTTTTACCTTTTCCAGAAGGTCACATAAATGTAATGATATATTAGACAACCTTCTGAGATTAGCTTCTTCAATTTACATAGGAGCTTGAAATCCACTCACGATCTGTGTTATTATATGCATAATAATTCATTCTTTTTATGGCTGGTTTATACCATAGTTTAACAGTTCACTCAGTGAAGGTCATTGGGTTTTTTTAGTGTTTAATTATGAAAAATATACTACTATAAACACTTGTACAGACATTTTTGTGTGGCTCATGCTTTTATTTCTCTAACTTGGCAGCACTATCATTTAAAACATACTTTTTAAGCCATTCTAATACTGGTATCTTGTTATGATTTTAATTTTTTATTTCTCTAATAATCAGTGCCATTGAGTTTGTTTTCATGTACTTGTTTGCCATCCATAGCTATTAGTGAAATATTCTTTGCTCAATTTCATGTCAGGTTTTTCTTGCAAGTTTCAAGAACCCCTCAGTTCTTTGTTGGATAACTCATTTATATGTAAATTTTACTAGCTATAGTTTATCTTTGTATATCATGAACAGTGTACTTCACAGAGCAAATTTTTTCAATTTTGGCAAAACCTACTTTGGTACTCCATGGTAAAACACATGCCCCAGGATTCTCATTTCAATCTCCAATACCATGAAATCAATCAAACAAGAAACCTAGTTTATTTAGTCTTCAATGTATTATAAACATAAGCGGTCTTTGCCTGATCCAAAGTCATAAGTGTATACTTTGGCCACTTGTCCCTAAACCATTTATGGAAAGACTCTGTCTTAGTTGCATTGTCTCTGTGCTATCATAACAAAAACAAAACAACTATTTCTAAGGAGGCCAATTTCTGGAGTCTATTTCACAAATATATGTGCCTACCCTTTGCCAATACCACACTCCTAATACAAGAGATTTAGAGCTAAAACTTCACAGTAGGTACACATATCAACTGTGTTCACTTAAAAATGAATTTTATTGTTCTACTTAATTTTCCTCTTCTGATAAGTTAGAATCAACTTCTTTATCAAAAATTATCTAGGGTCAGACATGGTTGTTCATACCTGCAATCCTAATTACTCAAGAGGTTGAGATCAAGAGAATCATGGTTTGAGGCCAACTTAAGTGAAGATCCTTTCTTAAACCAATAAAAAACAGTAGAAGGGTATTCACCTACTATTCTAACTACATAGAAAGCATAAATAGGAGGATCACAATTCATAGTGGCCTGGGGGAAAAGCAAGATCGTACAAGAACAGTAACAAAAACAAAAGGTTGGGGTATGACTCAATAGTAGGGCACCTGCCTAGCTAGCACACAGCCTTGAGTTCAAACACCAGTATAATTTACCCCTCCCCCCACAAAGAATCACCTGGAAATTTTATTTGTGTTAATAAAGACTGCTTTTTTACATTCGGGAGAATAAACATCTTGACTATACTAAGGCTTCCAGATATAGTTACACATAATAAGTCATATGTTATCTTTAGCTGCTTTCCTCATATTTTTATTTCAGCATATAGATGTCATAGTTATATCACCTTCATTTTGCACCACTTATGCTTATTGTACTACTACATTTTTAACACTAAAATTTCCATCTTTGTGTCTTGTTTATTCATGTAAGGGTGTTTCTCAAGGAGCACAGTTAATACAGCTACTCTAATGTCTTTGATACAAATTTCAATTTCTGGGTCATACTGGGGTTAGCATCTGTCAATTGTCTTTTCTTATTGTGAGGAGTCAAATTCTCTGTTTCTTAAGTATAAGCCAAATAATTATGGATTGCCTTTTTGACACTTAAAAGTTTTTTTATGTGTATGCTGGTCCTGGAACTTGAACTAGGGGTCTGGGTGCTGTCCCTGAGCTTTTGTGTTCAAGGCTAGAGCTCTACCAATTGAACCACAACTGGCTTTCTTTTGTGGTTATTTGGAGATAAGAGTCTCAGGGACTTTCCTGCCTAGGGTGGCTTCAAACTGCAATATTCAGATCTAGGATTACAGATATAAGCCACTGCACCCAGTGATACTTGAGCTTTTATGAGAATATGTGCTCTCTCAAAAAATTATGAATATTGACTTTTGCTAAGTAGATAATAAATACAGTTTAAGGGCACAAGTCTTGACATTATTCTATAGCTTTAGATTCCAGTCAGATTAATTTTCAAAGCCTTGTAATGTTACTTAGGATCCACCTCAACAGCCATGCAAGGACTTGGGCATGAGTTTACACCAAAGCCTTTGGGTACCAGTTGGGATCATTTAGATGAGTGTACGGGTAGGCTTATGAACCATGTACAGGTAATGGAGCTCCCTCCTTTCTGTGGATCATTTTCCACTCTTAGATAACAATGGTCCCCTTTTCCACCCTCTGTTTAGCAAGCTGGGGCTTAAGCCTCTGCTCAAGGCCTTACTTGGGGGCATAAACATAAAAGAAGTTAACAGATTTTTAAAAAATACTCTTTGGGAACTATGATCCCTTTGTTCAGTTCCTACAGTCAAGGAGAAGAAACTTTTCTGAGTTTCAGGTATGTGGCTGCTGCTTCTGCCACTACCAGGCTGGGGGTGGGGGTGGGGGGGAGAAAGCGAAGCAGAATTTCTGCTACTCTTTTCATCTTTGCAGCTCCTCTATTCAGAAGCGAGAAAGTTTCTCTTGGAACAACTTCTGTCTGCTTCTCCTGTCAGTTCTGCAACTCACTGAGCCAGGAGAAATGAGGGGGAAAACCCAGTAGAAATCTCACTGGTGAGTTGACCTTTAAGATATGATCTCTCTCCCCAGATCTGCCTATCTTTATTTACTGGCTAGGATTTCTAAGTGAATTCAGTGAGTGGGAAACTCAGAGTGCAGTATTCTATCTTAACTGGAAATGACTTGAATTTATAACTAATCTTGTGAAAGAACTTACCTACATGTCCAACATATGCCACACAATTGTCATTTTAATATTTTCCAAGATGTAATTTGTTTTGAAAGCTCTTTAAATATACTGACAGCTAGTTTTATAAGAACTTCCAAGGAGTTAATAACCATATTTATCTAAAACAGATCCAATACCATAATCAAGCATCAACTTTTTACATGAATCTGGCCTGATCAACAGTGGGGCCTGAACTCTGGGCCTGGGCACTGTCCCTGAGCTCTTCAGCTCAAGGCAAACACTCTACCACTTGAGCCACAGCACCACTTCTGGCTTTTTCTGCTTATGTGGTGCTGAAGAATCAAACCCAGGGCCTCATGCATTGCAAGGCAAGCATTCTACCACTGAGCCACTTTCCTAGCCCTCTTTTCAAATTCTTTTACACATAGGTAGGTAATTCATGCTTAATAAATTCTGTTCGTTTTGTGCGTACAAGTCTATGTACATGTGACACACTAGTCAGTATGTATGAAAAGAGCTAGATGGATTAACTGTAACTTACTCAAGGAGCTCCAAGGTGATGGTTCCTTTGGGTTCTGCTTCTACACTCTTCCCCCAAAATTTCAGTTTTGGATAGATTGAGCCGTGAAAGATAAAGTCATTGTTTAGTCCTTCTGCATGAAATGCACTGATTGGTGGGTGATGGCTGACCTGTTCCGAAATTAGTCTGAATCCAAGGTCATCTCTTAATATTAAAAAAAGCAATATTGCAATTAACTCTACTACTGATTGTCATTTCAGTCAAAAAACAAAGTAAGCAATTATTATGATCTCAACAGAAGAACACATAAGAAACAGTACAAATGCAACTCAAACTACTTGATCCAGTATAAGTATAATGTCAGCTATTTGAATATATTAAAACAAGACACTCCTATGAATTTGGATGATTTACATGAAATAATATTAATTGTGTGAATTTTAAACTTAACTTCATTTTATATCAAGAGAGAGGTTAGGCGCAGTGGCTCACACCTGCAATCCCAAATACAGGAAGGGGAAAAGGAAGAGGCAGGTAGATTAGGGACTCCAAGGCTTGCTTGGACAATAGCAAGATCCTATGTCAAAATCAAGGTTTTTCAAAAAATGTGATGAGAGTACAGCACTTGAGTAGCACATGAGGCACTAGGGGAAAGAAAGATACAATGTATCCATATTTCAACATGCAGGAGATATGGTCAAAACTTGTGCAAGGAAGAATAGGAAGATACAGTAGCTATCTATCTAAGCTAGCCTATTATATAAAACCCTGAAATGATAAAAAGAGACTAATTAGTCCCACATGATCAGACACATTGAAATCCTCCAAATACATCTTATGTCTGTTTCAGTATTTTTGATGTAGCTTCTATTTTAAAAATAATATTCATAAAAATAAAAACATCAAATAACTGTTATTTGGTGATACTCAAAATACGTATTTTTCCTCTTCAACAATGTTATGCCAATCATGCAAATTCAACTATCCATCTGGAATGGGGGACAGAGTGAAAAACCTCACCGGACCAATTCGTAAGTTTCTCCCAGAAGTGGGTTGAATGGCTTTCCAGTGCGTTCCCACTGAGAAGCAACTGCAGACACAGCAAATGCAGCTACACACTGTGGGACAGAGCATTGTACACATCAGTTAACAGCCCAGCTGTTACCTCTCCAGAGAAGAAACTGGGCTAAAACACTAACTGACAAAATTATTCTGAAGAGTTGAATTACTTTTGAGTTTTATTATGGCTCTAGAAACTTACTATGGAAACTTGGATATTCAGAATAAAAATTAATTATTCTCTTCCCATTGTGTTATCCTTTAACATGGCTTTCATAATATCCTAAGAGTGCTACAAATTCATTCAAGAAATCTTTAGAAGCTCTTAAACCCAGTTAGTTCTAATACAATAATTTTTTTAGTACAATTGCCCCTAAGTATCTGGAAGATTGATTCCAGGCCCTTCCTTCCCAATGCCAAAATCTGTGGATGTTCAAATTTCATATAAAAATGATGGGATATTTTAAAATAATTTATCCACATCCTTCCGATACATTAAACTATCTCTATATTATTTATAATACTGAACACAATGTGAATAGCTGTTATACTCTATTGTGTATGGAGTAATGACAAAATCTATTCACATTCAGTTCAGATTTTTTTTTTCTACTCTGGATCTAAGGTTGATTAAATCTGTGAATGTGGAACCCAGGATAAAGAGTGCCACCTATACACACATTTAGAATTGTAGAAAAGAGATATAAAACTAAAAATTGGTATCAAAGCCAGTGAGATTAGATAAGACTTATTCATACAAATAAAAGAATAGGAAGATTCAGATTTTGAATGCTATTGCTTTGTTTGATGGGAGAACAGTATCATGTAAACAGCTATTTAAAAAGAAAAGGTAAAAATTCAATTTCAAGTGTCTTTTGTTTGAACATTTAGCGGTGTGGATATAAGTATAAACAAGCATTTACATGTGTATATTTTTTGCTTTTTAGAAACAAATTTGAAAGAAGCTGTATTGGATTTTCTCCCTAACACAATGCTATCTTCTAGAATGAAGAATTTTAAAAGCATGGCTATGACTACTTTATGCTTCCCTTAAATTTCCCACCAGTTCTGCAGTATGGTTACGGGAGCAATGTACACAAAGGATTCTTCATACATACTAGTTAAGTGCTTTGAAAACTTTTCCTATCCTCACACAGGATTTCAGAGTAATTTCCTGTGTGTTTAAGAGTGAAATTCAGAAAGCAGTAGGATAATCTATCTCTAAGATTTATCCCTCACTCCATGCTTGACACTTACCTGCATCCTTTCCACAGGATCCGATAATGAACTGGCCTTGTGGATGAGGTAAGTATGCTCCATGTATTCCGTTAGCCGCTGTAGGAAGCTCAAAGGCTCATTAAATATAACTGGCATGGTGATCTTGGACAGTTCCTAATGAAAAAGAAAATGAATTGTTATATACAGTATATCTTTATGCAATACATTCCTGAAAAGTAACAAGACAATTCCAACTCATGAAATTTAATATCAGTTCAATTTCACAAATCTTGCCAGAACATATATAAACTATATTGAACAATATAAGGACATACAAAACCATCCAAACATTCTCTCTGGTTTCACAAGGCACACAATGTAATGGTGACCATGAGCTGATATCTTGTTAGTAAATCTGCCTTAGGTAAATCTTAGGAAAGGTAATGAGGATACATAAAGCAAAAGTCTTCATAATGATGTCAAAACACGAAGCTGTAAGGGTTCTAGTGCCTTGAGTTCATACAGAAACAAACTGAAACCCAATTGAGCTAGTCACCAATCACAAACTACCCAACTAATATCTCCTTGACAACGTTCTACACCAACCAATACAATAGTTCTTTGTCTTGGTCCCTTCAGAGAACACCTCACAAAAGGTTGCCCTCCCATGTGATCCACAAAGTGCTGAATCACTTGAGGTCCGGGTCTGCCCAATTCATGAATATTTGCTCAAATAAATTAATAAAATTTCAGTGTGGCTAAGTTCATTGTGTTAACAGATGCTAAGGATTAACCACATCTACTATCTTCACAAGAAATTCGAGATTGTTTTTGGCTGACAACTGTGGGCTCTTCTGAACACTAGACTGAGGCTAAATATTACACAGTATCTTAAAATTCTGCCTGCCAGTTAAAGATTAGGCAGGGGGTCCAAGGTTCATTACATGGCACCAACATGCCATGAGGTTAACATCATGAGGTCCTTTTTAAAATGATCATTAAATTTTAAAAAATGTGTATCTCTGGAGGAATGTCCTGACCATCTTTTCAAATATCTACCTACTATTATCTACTTTTTCTTTGGGAATCAGATGTCTCAGGAAGCCAGGTGGCTAAAGGCATCTGGCTAAATAGTACTGAGATGCAATTCAGGTTGAATACCACTGGACTTAGCTTGAACTCCTCCCCCCACACAAAGGTTCACATTCTTTATGATCTGAACAACTAAAAACAACAAGGCCTTCTGCAAGATTTCAACTAACAGCATTAAAAAGCAACCCTCATTCATAACCATAAAATAGAGCTGGGAATGTGGCTTAGTGGTACAGTGCTTGCCTCACATGCATGAAGCCCTGGGTTCGATTTCTCAGTACCAACATAAACAGAAAAAGCTGGAAGTGGCACTGTCTGTGGCTCAAGTAGTAGAGTCTTGAGAAAAAAAAAAAAAAGCCCAGGGACAGTCCTCAGGTCCTGAGTTCAAGCCCAAGGACTGGCAAGCAAACACACACACACACACACACACACACACAACCATAAAATATTGCAGAATACAGACAGTTTCAACCTAATTAAAATAAACTTATTGCTTCCTCACTCACAAGAGAGATAAGATAGAAAAAGGAACATATAAACAGAATGAAGACAACTATATTCATCTCAAGATCTTATTAATCCAAGAGATACACTAATGGAAACAAGAAAGCTGGTACCACCAAGTTTTGTCTTAATTCGAATGCTCAGTCTCTCTCTTTGCTACTTAAAAAGTATTTTTTATTCTTTAAAAGTTATTTTTAATGTTTATAATATCCCACTCCCTCTCCCTCCCCATCTCTCTGCTGCTCCCAGGGCTTGAATTCAGGACCTGGGTACTGTTCCTAAGCTTTTACCATTTGAGTCACAGCTCCACTTCTACCTTTTGCTGGTTAACATTTTGTTGGTTAATTGAAGAGTCCATGAACTTTCCTGCTCAGACTGGCTCTGGATCCCTGTGGTAGCTGAGTTGACAGGTGTACACCACTATACCAAAACGTTTTTGTTGTGATGGAGTCTTTTGGACTTTTCTATTAGGGCTGACCTGAATCAAAGACTCTCTCAATCCTGCACATAACTAGTATGACAAGCATGGCCACAGGTACCCACAGACAACATAAAAAGCAAAATGTTTTAAAAAACAATCTGAAAATTTTTGATTAATCATACTTGAGGAAATTAACTTTACGGTATAAAATACCATAGTCATTGTCACATGGTAAGAGGGAATAGCCTGAATACATTAAGAAAAAAAAGGCATTGTAGAAAATGGCAACAATAAAATTTTGTTATCAAGATTTTATATTGTTCTTGGTATTTACCAGTTATTTAGCCTCCAAATATCATTTTTTCTGTTCTGGACTAACCTCTAAGTCTGAGAAAAATAGATGACAAAACAACATGTGCAAAAAGCAATATACTACCTGGATGCTAGTGGCCAAGCCTGTAATCCTAACTACTCAGGAGGATGAGATCTAAAGCTCTCAGTTCAAACCCAGCTCAGGAAGTCATGAGACTCTTTAATCTACTAAACTACCAAAAACAAAAATAAAAACAAAAACAAATCCCTTCTTTCCTCAAGTACCATACAAACACTCAGAAAACAAGGTTAAGTTTGAGCTCAACTAAAATGTACTAAAATGGAAAATACTTCCTAAATAAGAAATCTACCATTTCAGTGTCAAAATGTGATAATACGTAGGATCTGGGTTGTCAAGAGTCAAATTGTGTCAGGCTGAGTCTGTTGGCTCTAGTGCCTAGGCAGGCTCTGTAGGGCAGGGGTCTGAGTCAAGCACTCTGGAGGCTTGGCCTCTGGGCTTTTCACATATAGGTGCAGCAGAGATTTTTGCTGTTTATTAGAAAATGCTGTGCCTTAATCTTTATGAAGGAATGGTATGCAGTGGGGGCAGTGTGCGGGATGAGAGTAAAACAACTGCAGAAATGGATCTGAAACTTCATCCCTTATTAAACCACATCCTTTGTGATAGGACCTTGGGCTCTTTTATCAAGAGTACAATTTCACCATCATTTAGATCTTGGTTGACTTTATTATTTGCATTTGCAAATAAAATACAGCAAAAATCACTGTGAGCTGGCCCTTACCTTGCTTTAGAGGCCTTTCACCATTTTTCTGTCACTCTCAAGCCTCTACCCAATCAGGAGACTATTCTGTGTTACCTTGTTAGGTGGAAATAGAAAGACCAATCCAAACTCAGCAATTGTCATGCATTTAACCTGCCCAAATTAGATCTGCTCAACCTCCATTGGCTGACCCATTGTAACAATGACGTGTACAAGACACTATGTTGAAAATGAACTTTACAACTTCAGGGTGGGGGAAGGAAGGAGTTGGGGAAGTGGAGAGGAAAGGGATGGTAGGGGGAAAAACAAAGGAGGGGGTAACAATGCCCAAAAGGAAATGTATTCATTATCTTGCTCTTTTAAAACTGTAACCGCTCTATACAGTATCTTTACAGTAAAAATATATATTATAAAAAAAAAAGAAAATGCTGTGCCTTTCCAAGTCAGAAGCTGCTTATGGGTCTTTGTTCTACCCACCTTTTCCTCCCACAGCTATTTGTTACATTTAAGAACCTTGAAAGGTCAACTATCTTTTCTATATTCTGTTCTACATAGCCGCTCACCTCTATCAAAGTATCTATTATCTATTTCATAGTTTATCATGGGGTGAGAGTTTATGCCATCTGAATATCTGATTACACTCAGTCACTCTAAGACATTGCTGCATTCTGGAAGGAACAATTTTTTTTAAAAAAAGCTTACTGTCCTAACGTCATCTTGTTGCAGAGTCCCCAGAGAGAAGTATGAGGGTTCATAACTTGGCTGTGAGTGGAGGACATGCACCAAGGAAGACAGAAAAGACACATGTGTTTGTGTGTCAACTGAATACTGTGGTGTACCCAATAGAAAAATTGGCCAGAAAATACAAGAAAAGTTATGAGGAAAAAATACAATAAATGTAAAGCTATTTTGCCTATCCTTACTGCAGAGCAGCTGTGTGGCTACAGAGACTGGAGGCAGTATGAGCTCAAGCTGGAGGCGGTTAAGTAAAAGCTAGATAACTACCTGAAGAGAATATGGAGCAAGTGTGGAGGCCCTAGCTGGAAACCTGTACTAGAACAGAAGTCTGTGTCAAGGGAATCTATTCTCAGACACTCTACTCCTTATGTACATGCACACTTTCCTAAGCACTAGTTGGCCAGGGGCTATGTGTGGGCTGAGGTCCCATGCTGTGCCTCTTTGCCTGATGCTACTTAAAAAAAGACTCATCTCTCATTGTTCTGAAGTTTTGTAAAGTTTTGTAGTTTTCATGCCCAGAAGCACAGCTTGAGAAAGACTACAGTGTCAGTGGTGCACCTTCACTGAAGCACCACAACTCTCTCATGGAGAGTTTCAGCTAAGGGAGAAATGCAGTATTACAAACAACTTCTGGCCCATTCTCCCCACAGATTTAACTTCAAATCACTATACAGTGATGTGATAGAGATGCCAAATTTTGTTTTATTATCTTTTTCCTTCCATCCTGTCTCTCACATAAGTATTTATAACATACCAGATTTGGTGAAGCTTCAAATCTTATTTAGCTATGTACCTAGAATTCTAGCGTTAGAATTCAGGAATTCTAAAGAAAACATTGCACTACTCTGACAGTCACTCTGAGTTGGAGGTATGTCTAGGCATGAGGACCAGGTCTGTGACAAGGTGATTAGCTCATTCTGCATCAAGCAAATGAGCTTACACTGCAGTTTTGAAGGAAATATTTTGTCATGGTTTTGATATGAAGTTTCCCCTCCAAACTTGGGTTTCTCCCTCCACACATTCCCACTGCCATGATATTCTGTCTTATTTCAGGCCCACAGCAATGAAGCCAGTTGACCCTGGACTGATACTTCTGAAACTGTGAACTAAAATCAATTTTTATTCTTTAGCTGTTAACATCACAGTGATGAAAAAGTCACTAACACAGGATTGAGATCACATGGTAATAATAAAAGCATTTCACCACGAATATTAAGTTGGCAAAATTGTACATTAGCTAAGAAATTTCAGTCTTCTTAGCCTCGTTTCAATCCTTCCATATATGACTGAAAGGAAACAGTAGCACGAGTCAAGCTTTGAGAGTCCTAGGAGAGTGTCTTGTATAGTTCCTAGAGACCATGAAGCCCCTGACAGTAATGCAAGGAAATAAAATCTTGTGCTAGTTCGAACTTCCTTGTTATTAGAGAAAACTGTAAAATCCTAGTTGATTTGTCTGCTAATTAATATTTTCCCATTTTTGGCATACAGTTAGAGAAGGGGGGGTCAAGAAACTGAATGGCACTAATCAATGTTAAAAAAAAAAGCCAAAAAACTCCTACACCCATCTGTCGATCAACGTGAGAAGGTTTCTCAATCTTATATTTAAGAAAACAAAATTGGTACTGAAAATCCTGTCTTATTCTAACAGTAGTCTTCCCAGATACTTAAACCCAGTTGAAATTTTTTTTTCAGTAATATATAGACAATTTCGATCACTCATATACTCCTAAGAATAATGATGCAAAAAAACGTGGTGCTGGCTTGTTCCTGTGCATGAGCATCTCTTCAAATGTTGTGCCTCGGCCTGGCTGTAGGTTTCCATGTTAGTGAGCAGGAATGCCCTACCACTTAATCTCTCGATGGACTCCTGCTGAAAAAGCCTTAGAACAAAGTATATAGAGAAGAGAAGGAAGAAAATAGGGAACACAGAAGAAGGGGGCAGTGGGAAATGAAGAACAAAGGCTTTAAACAATGAGGCAATCTCAGTATTAGTTCTGAGAGGCTGGGAATTTGTTTACTACAAGCTTTAATCACACAGAGATTTAAGATTGAGTTTCAGTTATATAAAGTATTTGTTCTGTGAAGTATTTTGGTAACATGATCTAGTCCAAAACAGATTAGAGAAGAAAGGAAGGGATATCATTAGTCTGGAAATCTAACACTCCATATGCCTTTTGGAAACAAGTTAAGGAAAATGTGTATTGGAAGAGGAGGAGACACTAAACCTGGTTAAAGGAGCCTGTCTAGAGAGGGGGTCACAGGCAGTAGGAGTCCAGGGCAAAAAATATTTGAAGAAGAAATAAGACTTTCCTCCCTGATGAGGATAAAATCAGACCTAGATTCTACCTAGCAGATAAGCACCTACTGTGAGTTTTAAAAGTCATATATTAGCCAGGCACTGGTGACTCACACCTTTAAGCCTAGCTACTCAGGAAGCCGAGATCTGAGGATTATGGTTCAAAGCCTGCCTGGGCAGGAAAGTCTGTGAGACTCTTATCTCCAATAAACCACCAGAAAACCAGAAGTAGAGCTGTGGCTCAAAGTGGTAGAGCACTAGGCCCTGAATTCAAGCCCTATAACCAACAACAAAAAAAAGTCATATATTGTAGGGTGTAGGCAATTTACATCTGTAATCCTCACTATTCAGGAGGCTGAGATGTGATGATCAGGATTTGAAGCTGTCTCTGACAGAAAAGTCCCTGAGACCATTATCTCCAATCAACCAGCCAAGAAAAAGAAAAAGTCAAAAGTGGATGTGATTGTCAGATAGCTAAGGGACAGTACCTAGGCCCTAAGTTTAAGCTCCAGGACCAACACATAAATGAATGAATAAATGTCATGGATACTAAACTATGAGAGTATACAATAAACCAGGGACACTGGTTTAGAAACAGCTGGGACAACTCCAATTCAATGTTGAATGATGAGACAGGAATACTCTCACATCCACTCTGACCTGGCATACTACTAACATGCACAATGCAAACACAAGGAATTCAAAAATCCTACTTCCTCTGCTACTTTTAGGTTTTATGAGCAAATCTAGAAAATAGGAGAAATCCAAGGGAAGAAATGATAGCTGAATGGTTTGTCCATTGTTTCCGTAACGAGACTGACTCCTATAGAAAAGACTAAAAGAAAATATCCTGATTACTGATTTTAATAGAATCATAAACATGAAATTAGAATTTGAAAATAAATCCCTTCACTTTAAGTTAAGCATACTGGTTATTTCTGCTACCTAGAGAGGGAATCCTATCATAGACAATACCCAAAGAATAATACTTCCAATGCTGGCTGATTTCCTTTCAGCCCACACTAATAAATTTTCTTCAAGAACTGTACAACCTCAGCAGACAGCTATTTCCTCTGCAGCTCCCTCTCCACACTTTTAATCAGTAAGTTCTATAGATAGAGGTTTCAAAAAATTCCATGGAGCCCTTTCAAGTCCAAAGCTGTTTTTATTTGCTTTATTTTATTTATGATTTGCCATAAGTGCTTATTTGTACAAGTAGTTCTTATACCTAAAGATCCAACCACATTCTAGCAGCGGTGGGAAATTTTTTTTTCTGCCAAGGACAGTTTAGGATATTTATAACATCGTTTTTGAGGTCAAACAAAATTATCAATCCATGCAGATAGTCATGGGCAGTACAGGAGAACCACACAAGAAACAATTGTGTCTGTCCTATCTTGTACCAAATGATTTCATACTTGGGGCCAGATGTTCCTCACCATGGTAAAAATAAGTATCTTTTAAGAATTATAAGTGTAATCCAACATAATATTTAACTTTTAAAAGTGATTAAAACCAGGTGCTGATGGCTTATGCCTGTAATCCTGTAATCCTATCTACCCAAGAGGCTGAAATCTGAGGATCATGGTTCCAAGCCAGCCAGAGCAGTAAATTCCATGAGACTCTTCTCTTTAACAAACAAACAAACAAACAAAAAACAGATGTGGAACTGTAACTCAAGTGCCTTGAGCAAAAAAGCTAAGGGGTAGCACCCAAGCCCTGGGTTCAAACCCCAGTACTAGCAAAAAATAAAAAAAAAAGTCAACTAAGGCAGAATACTTGCTAAAGTCATAAGTTTGATAGACTGTGAGTCAACTGAAGAACAAATTCATGACACCATCAATGAAGCTGATAGCTAATGAGGAGACAGCAAAAGACAGGCTTGGGGAGGAGACATACAGAAAACTATTTTCCAGAACGTCAAAGTCCTTTGCTCACAGACTTAGACAGATGTTACCAATTCTACAGGAACTTAGAACAATGATTTTCAAATCATGGGTTTGGGTTCATTAGCAAGTTGTAAAATAATTAAGGGTATGGAAATAGCATTACTTTAACATAATAGAAAATACCACTTCAGAACTGATGCATAGCCTTTATATCCTTTTGTGAATCTATTTTAAAGTTTAGACACATATACATATATCTAACTTCATGCTGGATCACAAGGGCAAACATGTTTCCAAAAGGCTGAAAAACACTCTAAAGAACACATATTTTTTGTCTTAAAAATTTTAGTTGCAAGAATACTAATGAAATCTATACTAAACCTTATTATTAAGACTGAGTTATAAGGTATATATTTGTCTCTATATATATGAAGTTTGCCTTGAATCCTAATATAATTAAAGTAGATTTAGAGCCTATCTTCTGACACTCATTTATGGTTACCAATGGTAGAAAGAACTGCCATTTTCTTTTTTTAAATACGTATTTATTGTAAAAATACTGTACAGAGGGGTTACAGTTACATGAGCAAGGTAATGAGTACATTTCCTATCAAGCACTGTTACCTCCTCCTTTGTTTTTCCCCTACCATCCCTTCCCTCTGAATTACTACTTTCTGAGGACTGCATTAAACTAGAAATTATCCTAGATACCTTAGATAAATTGTCTGTCAATATACCTCAAAGATATAAATTATTATCCAAATTTCACATGGGAGATGATTGCTTCTCAGGGAGGCACAATACCTTGCCCAGGGTCTCAGAAACTGCCCACAAAGTGGGAGAGCTGAGGCTAAATAATACCACAATAGTCTACAATGTTGAGCTGTAAGAAAACATTTGTTTAAACTGAGTGTTTCTGGAATTAGTTCCTCAGAAATGACACTTAGGAAGTAGTGGATGACATTATTCTAACTCATACAGACACACTAGGAAAGTGCTACAGTTCAAACAGTAAGGACATGTTCAGAAGGTGACTCTACTCACTGAAGGACAAATTCCTAAGATGCACTCTAAATCCCAACATTTAACAAGGCGATGTTCAGGCAGATTTCTTGGTACCTCGGGGCTCGTGTTGCAAATTTTCATCATTCTTCATGGCCAGAAATTATAGTAGAAAAAGTTGAGAGAACTGTACTCAGAATTAGCCTGACACTGGGCAGTAGTGTTGACCACCACCTTAAAGGGAATCCTGGAGCTGTATGATAGGAAATGTTGCCTCCACCTTCCTTCCTACATCACTGTCATGCACTGTTGAAGATTCCCTTCCAAAGGATGTGCAATTAAAATACAAATCTGCTTGATACCACATAAGACAATTAATTTACCATTCCAATACACTTCCTGAGGATGCTCCAGATACTGAAGTCGTTTCTGGAAAACATAGGAGAGGGCAAGCTTGTTCTGAAAAAAGAAAAGAAAAACAAGAGACATTTTCATATCATTGGCATTGGAAAGGAAAAGTTGTCATTAATATGCAAGTACAGACACATGTGTAAGGTCTGACTTCAGTTCTGATTGAGGTGATCTCAATTCCCCTTAGCCCATATCCTGTCATGGGGCTGTGTTTCTAACTCTGATGCCTAATTCAAAACACACCTGCCAAATGCTGGTATCTACCCAATCATTATACTATGCTTGCTAAATACTAGAAACAAATGTTATCAGAGAGCCTAAGGATTTTGTGAATTAAATAGAAAAATATAGACCAACGGCCCAAGCCACAGTAAAATTTAGGTTCTGTACTTCCCCAAGACTGCTACTGAGTAAACTTGAGCACTCTAGATATATTTAAAAAAAAAACAAAAAAACAACCAACAATTCTTTACAGATAAAATCACAGGAACAGCATCTTCAAAGCTCTTGCAGAGGCTTGGAAGCAGCCAGCACAATGGCAGCTGTCAGTGGTGGAGGGTTTGTGGCTTGGATAAGCAGTTCATCACAGTCCAGCATTCTGATGACAGGCTGGATGGGTGGGAAGCCAAGCCTGTTCCCACAGGTCAGAATAACAGCACTATGGGAAGGGAGGAGGGGTGTACCCGGCAACTTTCTAAAGCACTGTGATAATAGTAATTCACTCTTCACAGTTATCTGAGGGTACAGCAAGGGATGCCAATACTCTGGTTGCTTTCTGAAATAATCCACATAACTAAAATATTAAAATAAAAATTTATCTTCTAAAGAACTTCTCCATTAAATTTAATTTCTATTATAGGGCTTAATAAAATGAAGTTTTGAAAGAAGCATTATTATTTGAAGTCTTCCATGATGAAATCCTGGTTTCTTGTCAGGAACATACACTGCTCTTTTGGCAGATTTGTCATCTAACCAATCTGTGAGGTAAGTGACCACAGATGGTATTTAAATGCCCATTCTCCAAGACTATTGATATTTGTGACACGAACAATAGATGCCACAATATGAATCCCTGCCACCATCTATTTGTCCATGTATAATATAGTTTGAGACAGTGGAAAGGACAGAGGGAGGGATATATGGCAGGTGGGAGGAAAGGGCAGGCTAAATTTTCCATTTCCTAGCTATGATAAAAATAAATCAGATACATATGAAATGCAATATCACAGAGTGCTGAAAGATGACATATTTTTGAGGATCTGCAACAATTATCTAAGATATGCAGTCCATGTGCAGGTCAGATTACAAAATAAAAAATATAATCTGAAAAAAGTAATTCAAAAATATAGCACAACTCAGAATTTGTAAAGCCAAAATGAGCTTCACAGAATAAGAATGAGGGCTGCAATTTCCAATAAATGTTTACATGAAGTATATAGGCATGTCTTAAACAAATCTGATTAAAAACAAGAAGACAAGGCCAGAAAAACAACAAATATTTTGGAGACATTTCTTGAAGGCAAAAGGTAAGACTCTACCTGCTTTGTAATTAATTTAGGAACTGTCACAATACTGTCATCAAAAATCCTATCTTTAACTGTCTTGTACTCATTCTTTTTTTCACATTTTAACCTAAATATTTACTTATTTATTTTTACTGTTATTATATCTTTGTAATAAGTTTTTAATTGTGAAAATACTGTACAGAGGGGTTACAGTTACATAAGCAAGGTAATGAGTACATTTCTTATCAAGCATTGTTACCTCTTCCTTTGTTTTTCCCCTACCATCCCTTCCCTCCCACTTCCACAACTACACTCCCTTCCCTCACCTCACCCTACCCCCGACCTAAATTGTAAAGTTTGTTTTACAACATAGTGTCTTGTACATCTCACTGTTACAATGGGTCAACCTGTCTCCCTATTTAAACATTTTGTTTTTTCTTTTCCCCTCCCCAAATTATACCAACATCAAATACAGTGAAAATGGGTTATACCATGGGGGAGGAACATACAAAACAACAAAAAAAATCACATGGTACCTTATAAATACTTCTTTATACCTATATAATTTTTAAGTATTCCATTTTTAAAATTTTTTATTTTTTAATTTTTCCTTTATCTCTCTCTCATCCTATCCTTTTCTTCTCTCAATATCATTTCTTTATATTTACATAATTTTAAGTGTTTCTATTTTTCATTTTTTTTAAATCTCTCTCCTTTCATTCTGTCCTATCCACATCTCTGAGATTAAGTCTTGGTTGAATTCACTCTTTCCTTTTGCCTCTCCACATCCCTCTAATCCTATTTTTCCCACAATTGTACTCATTCTTATGCACATAATTTTGTGCTATTTTATGGAAATGTAGTAATTACTCACTTATGAGGCCAGATAATGTGGCATAATCTATTTTAAAGACAACCAGAAAGTAGAGATGAAAGAGATTTTGAAAGTGGCTATTATAAAGCTCAAGTTATTTTCTTGTGTAGGACATGCAGAGCTAAGCACAAATCTTCAGACCAAATTGTACTTTGTATATGGGATATGTACTTTGTATATGGGATATGTACGCCATGCAGAAAATGTGGTTTTAATATTCAATGACTTCAGAGTTATGACCACGATTCTATGTCAACAGCTTGAGACAGCAGTCAGAAAGACAAGTGGCATTTTTCAGTGCAGACTGCCAAATGGGAAGACAGCAGCCAAAGCAGCACCAAAAGTAACTCAAACTGGGATTCAGATCCACCAAGAGCAATTTTTAGGAGGAGGCCTAACACCTCCACTTAGGAGGACTTAGGGGAGAGAAGCTAGGCAAAAGTGCCTGGAAAATTGCCATGTGGAGGAAATATGTAGGAGAATCTAGAAGCTTGGGGAAATGTAGAATGACAGAGGTCCTAGAACATTAAGAAGTTGGTGTTTGGTGTCAATATCCCAATGACATTCTTTAATGAAATAGAAGAAGCAATCCAAAAACTAATATGGAATAATAGAAGACCTTGAATAGCAAAAACAATCCTTAGCAGGAAGACCAGTGCTAGAGGAATATCAAAACTAAATTTCAAACTATTATAAAGCTGTAGTCATAAAAACTGCTTAGTAAGCTGGGCACTGGTGGCTCACACCTGTAATCCTAGCTACGCATGAGGCTGAGCTCTGAGGATCGCGGTTCAAAGCCAGCCCGGGCAGGAGAGACCTTGAGACTCCTATCTCAATAAACCACCAGAAAACCGGAAGTGGCGCTGTAGCTCAAGTGGTAGAGCGCTCGCCTTGAGCTGAAGAGCTGAGGGACAGCGCCCAGTCCCAGAGTTCAAGCCCTACGACTGACAACAAAAAAAAAAAACAACTGCTTAGTACTGGCACAGGAACAGGCCTGAGGACCACTGGAATAGAATTGAAGACCCAGATGATTCCACAGACCTATGGTCACCTAATCTTTGATAAGGGAGCCAAAATGATCAGATTGAAGGAAGACAGCCTCTTCAACAAATGGTGCTGGCAGAATTGGCTATACACATTTAGGAAACTGAAGTCAGATCCTTATATATCACCCTGTACCAGAATCCCAGAATCAGATACTCCAAATGGATCAAAGACTTGAGGTAAGAGCAGAGACCCTGAAAATATTACAGGAATGGATAGGGGATATGATAGGGCTCCTTGGCACAGGTTGAAACTTCCTAAATGAAGAACTGTAAAGATAAACTGGATTGCATTAAGCTTCAGAGCTTCTGCATGATAAAGAACATAGCTTACAAGATAAATTTAAAGCCCACAGATTGGGAGAAGATCCTCACTAGCTACATAACAGACAAGGGTGTCATATCAAAAATATGTCCAGAGCTCAAAAAACTAACCCTCCCCACAACAACAAATCCTCAACAAAACAACCACTCCATTGGCAAGTGGGCTAAATAATTAAAAACAAGACTTCTCTGGAGAGAATAGACACATGAAAAAATATTCAACATCTCTGGCCATAAAAGAAATGCAAATCAAAACAACATTGAGATTCCAGCTTCCCCAGTTAGAACGGCCATTATCAAGAAAAAAAATAATAGATGCTGGTGGGGATATGGCCAAAAGGGAATGTTACTACACTGTTGGTGGGAATGTAAGCTGGTTCAACCATTCTGGAAAGTAGTATGGAGGTTCCTCAAAAGACTAAACATAGAACTCCCCTATGATCCAGCTATCCCACTCCTGGGCATTTAGCTAAATGATAATAAGCAAGGTCACATTATAGCTACCAGCACAACTATGTTCACTGAAGCAGTATTCAACATAACTAAGATATAGAACCAACCCAGATGCCTCTCAATAGATGAATGGATCAAAAAAATGTGGTATATACACAATGGAATTCTATGCCTCCATCAGAAAGAATTATATCACCCCATTTGTAAGGAAATTGGACCGACTTGGAAAAAGTCATATTAAGTAAAGTAAGCCAGACCAAAGAAATATAGGCTCCATGTTTCCCTCATTTGTAATAATTCGTATATGTCTAGGATAGTCCTAGTAGAAGATAACAACAGCTCAAAAGCTATGTTCAATTGACCATATAAAATGTTAACTGAAATGAACTCCAATATATGGAAATAAGAGGCCTTTTTTTGTTGTTGACCTTGTTGTCATCAATGGTCTTTCTTTACTATTTTCTTTTTCTTTTTCCCTTTGGCTTATCCCAGTAGTAATGTTTTTGATTCTGGTACCCTGCGTCTTGTACTGATTTGGGGAAGGGAAGGGGAATAACAAAATGGTGAAACAAGGACAAAAGGTGACCCAATGTAACAATGATACCCACAAGACACTATTGGAAATGAACGTTACAACTGCAGGAGTGGGGATGGTGGAGTGGGGTAAGGATAGAGGGAGAAAAACAAAGGACAATGTTCGATAAGAAATGTACTCATTAACTTACTTATGTAACAGTAACCCCTCTGTATCGCACCTTTATAACAAAATATAATAATAAACAAAAGAAGTTGGGGCTTGGGTGGCAGGAGTAGCAACAACCTTTTTTTGGGGGGGGTCTGGTCGTGGGG